AAAGTCAATTCCACTTAATGCCTAAATCTGAATTTCAAAGCTTTCATGGCACAATGAGTCTTGGTCTAATCACTGGAGGATGAAATAAATGTACATGCACAAACATGTATTTACGTCAAACAGTACAGTATAACCACACCAGAGAGGCCGTATGTAGACAAATAATAACCTCTTTTCAGCGCAATTATTGTCTCTTCCAAAAGTAAAACTTTCACTATATTTTACCTCTATAGAGCAACAACTCTCAACAATCAAAATATTTGTCTCCAGAGGATGTTGCTTTGCAAAGTTTGCACTGTAATTTCAAATTTACCTTAACCATTTTAAGCATTTGATAGATACGAAAATAGGAGAGAGAAATAAGTTGGCAAAGCGAGACTATTTTGACTCCAAGGCCAGTAATTCGTGCATTCTTTTTAAAGTTCTGCAAGACAATGCTTTATATCAAATATCAAATGTCTGTGTGTATTATGCCAAAGAAAGAATTTTCTTTATATCAGTCTAAATAAAATTTGCGGCCATCATGTCGGAGCCATTACTCAACCAATGACTATGGCAACAAACAACAAATTTGGATATTCAATGGTAAAATTTAAAAAAAAAATATCATTAATATTTGACCTTTCAACTCTTTCATTAAAATATAGTATCAATTAACCCTTGTATACATCTTTACTTCTTCATGTGCAGTATATATCAAGATCATCAGGGCTTGATGAAAATCAAAGACTCGAGGTCGGGGATAAAAAAGAAAAAAAAATAATCTGGATGCATACCATGTTCTTTCAGATGTGGAATTTGACCGACTGTGTTTCGTGATACGTAAATTTATGGCGTTGGGCAAACAAATTCAGCTAAAGTCCTTAGACAAATAAAATAAAACTATTTTGATATAAATTGATTTTATTAGATGAATTCACAATGTTACACGCTGACTTTATACGTGTTATCTTTTATTTATATAACAATGTATTTTAACAGACAAGATAACAGTGCAAACACAAAATGGACCATTGTTTTCTTTAATACCAACAAAATGGCAAAAGGGTTATTTTTATTTATTTATTTATTCATCTATTTATTTATTTTGAATGTTAAAATGAAGTATCAAACTGGAAACTTATCAAACAAAATACACGTAGATGCAAACAGAATGTTATCGTGCACAAATTATTAGAATATTAAATATTGAAGTAAACAGATATATTTTTATTCAGTCTGTACAATTAAAATACAGATTTGTTACTGAAGAGTGGTAAAGTTAATGTTAATACAACTTCAGCAGCGTTTTTTTTTATAAAAATGCTTTGTTTGAGTCAGTTTTAAATTTATTTGGTACAAACAGAACATGGCAATTCACGGTTTTGCACGTAGTTCGGACAAGGCAAAGATCCGCACTGGGCTGTCACCCTGTATAACAGCGCTCCATTTTCATCACGGTACCCGGCCGGATCGGCTTGCGGTGCTTGGTCGATACAGATATAGCTGGTACCAGCCTTGTGACCATGGCTTCCTGCCATGAGATAACCGTGATATTCAAAATTCCAACCCGGAAAACAATCAAATTTGCCGGGAACCATCAGGGAGCTGATTCTTTTCTTACTGCGACAGACGACACAAGGCACGTTGTGATTCAACAACGGTTTCTGAATGTTGGAAGTGTCTATTAGCCCATCCAGAGATTCTTCGAATTCCATACCATACATAAACGCACTTCCGGCCGTGTCTGTGTACCGGCCCCACACAGGGTCATTCGGAAGGCACTGAAGATTTGTCGCGGCACCAAGGTGAGTGTAATAGGAACCACCCGCAATACCTGAAATAAATCATCTGGGAAATTAAAGAATGGAGAAAACATATAAAAACTGTTTAAGTCACTTAAACAATTCATAAGTTGCTGCATTTGTAAGGATAATGTTAATTAATATATAAATGCATAGTAATACACTGTTAAATATATGATATTGAACGAGTGTAGTTTGTTTAATACTGAATTTATTGAACGAGTTGAATACAATTATATCATGCGAAACTCTGGCGAGCATAATATTATTTTATTCAACGAGTTTAATAAATTTAGCAACTTAAACAAATTGAATATTCTTTTATCACATACCACAAATAAAGACGTAACCTTTTTTCATTGACGCGCCTATAGTATAACGCAAATGACGTCACTTCAAAATATATGCACGGTCTTGCAATACCATTTTTTTACGGAGTTGTATAAGCGTTACCGGTATGTACTAGTAAGTTTCATACCAAATCTAATTGGACGAGTAGAATAGAATAAGACCATACGAGCTTGTGATAAGCGCAAATGAATATTCAAATCAATTAATTAAGTTCAAGCTATTAAATTCTTTCAAAAACAAAATTATAACAGTTTCCAGAGAGTCATTTCATCGGTCATGACTGTGCTTAAACTGTAATACTAGTAGTTTTAGCGTGATTTCCAGGTGTGTTTGTGTAAAAGTGTTTCTCGGAGCGCTTTGTAACACCGCAAAACGTCCGGAACGCAAAACGTACGCGTGTGGACATTTTGCGTCGCATATCGTACACATGTGGACGCTTTGCGATGCATGTTTTGCGGCGAGAGTGTGTCTTTGCGTCGCATAAAGTCCATGTTTTCTGTATTAAAATATATTCTTTATAAACGTTACTTTTATTGGTTTGTGTCACTTTCATATTGTTTCAGGATATGACAAAATAAACATTAAAGTGCAATATTTTTGTGATCCTATATAATTCTGACTTTTATTTATTAAAAAAGAGAAATATGCTTAAGTCGAGGATGTTTTTCGAATAGATTTTTTATGGAATGGAATCAAACAGCAGCAGCAGCAGCAGCAGAGATATAAAAACGATGATATTGAAATAAATGTTATCTTATAAACATACAGAAAAAAACATTTCGCATATAAGTTACATAGATAATGTGTAATAGAGTATATTATAACAAACATTCTTCCGCATAGGAAATGATGTTCTACTCCGTTCTCCGTCCAAATCTATCAATTTCATATTCAATTCTAATGTTTTTAGAAACAATCTTTCGTTTTGTTTCCTTAAAAGCGATCAGAAAAAAACGACATTTCAGGTACTAACCGCTGTACACTAATTCAGTGTTAGCCCCGCTACCTGGGCAAGTTGTCCTACCCCATCTGATATACACAGCTCCACCTTAAATAAAAATGAATAATTGTAATACCTATACATTTAACAAATGCATGTAAAAATGGCCTTGGGTCAGACTGAGGAAGGTACATATGGCATGAAGCGCAGCTGAGTTTGTAAGTAACTATCGACTACAGATTCACACATTTTACGACGTTGGCAAGAAAGTATTTGTTTACAAACCGCTACATGAATGACAGGCCAGATACAAACAATTATATTGATCGTATGATTTCTAACTTATTTAACATAATATTTACCTTTCTGTCTAATATTTACATCCTCATCTGCTTCTCTCTTTTTCCTTTTTGTTTCAGCTATCTCATCCTGTAAAATAAACAGTACACATTTGTAGTATTTGCATTAATTGTACAAGTGAAGGCTTATATTCTGGCGTACCGTCTAACCTTCAAAACTTTAATGTACTTACTCATCGTACCTCCGACTTTTCATCATCGTCGTTTCGTTATTTCGACATTCCGCCATAGTGTTTTGGTCTATTCATTGTTTTGTGTTATGTGTGTGTCGCGATGGCCCTAACGTGACACCGTAAATAAATCATTGCAGCTATTTTGATGAACTGTATATGAAATATGATTAATCTCAATATCTTAAAAGTCTGTAATCTACCGTGGCAAAGAGGTGACATGTGTGTGTGTGTTTTCATTTATCTCGTGCGCACGAGATAATTAAGTGGTGAGCACTAGATACTGTGTCGTGGCCACGAGTTACTTAGTGCGCACACGAAATATTTAAGTTGCCGGCACGAGAAAAATCTAGAAACTTGAATAGTCTTTATGTCGGTATGTCTGAAAGAAAACAACAACATAACTCGAAAGATTTGGACAATATTATTACTTTCAAATATATCTTGAAAAATATAATTATTTTCACATTGATATATAATATCTTACTTGTTTTGAGATAGCTCTGTTCTTCATTTCAGACAGGTGTTGGGAAATCTCGTTGTATCGGTGATCATTTAGATTGTTTGATAATGAGATAACACTCAGTGTCAGTATTAAACAACAAACTCCAGATATTGAAAACAACACATGCCCCCTTTGTTTCAAATATCCGAAAACTGCTGACACTTTCATATTTTTACGTAATGTAAATACCTTTTAGTATAAACGATTAAATCAATTAGTTCAGCGATATCCACTAAGCCAAAAAAAATGTGAATATTTAAGTGAGACAGATTGACACAATTCAAACTTCTTTAATACTCGTAGCGACAGAAAAAAATATTTCTTACAAGGAAGAAATTGTCTTATCATATCATATGAGCCGCGTCACGACAAAACCAACATTGTGCGTTTGCGACCAGCATGGATCCAGACCAGCCTGCCCATCCGCGCAGTCTGATCAGGATACATGCTGTTCGCTTACATACTCTATAATAAGTAGAGAAACTGATAGCGAACAGCATGGATCCTGATCAGACTGCGCGGATGCGCAGGCTGGTCTGGATCCATGCTGGTCGCAAACCCATTATGTTGGTTTTGTCGTGACGCGGCTCAATTATGACGGAGTTGATAATGTTCATACTTAAATTTTAAACAAAGAGAATTCTGCGTGCAGAATACGATATACTTTTACAAAACAAGGGTTTTCGTGTGTATTTGCAAACAATTGCAAAAAGAATGCGAGTATTGTAACAATAGCATGCAATGACTAAGGCAATAGAAAATAAATTACTAGATTATCATTCAAATTTTGAAGAAAAAATGGGGCGGTCGGGTGGTTTCCATTCTCGGTCTAGAATTAGGTGTTAATTTTATATGTTCATGTATGTAAAATATATAGATTTAGATTGAGAATAGAAGCAACATGTTAATATATCTTGATTATTATGATCTATTTGATTGAACCTTTCATATACTGACATCAAACAAATTGGAGTCTGGACTAAAAAAGAACAAATACATGTTATACAAAATAAGACACGTTATTTTACTATCAGCAAATATCAGACTAATATCTTTTGATATCATTTCAATAAGTATCCTATTGCTGATAATATTGAGTTGAACAATGAACATAATAATTTTGTATTTAGATTATTTAGAATGAGTGTTATGTTCAATTCTCAATAGTATAAAAGTGACTAATAAATTGAATTAATATATTCTATGTCTATGGCGATCAATATTAGATTTTTCTTGAGTTAAGTCTTTTAAGAATAAATTAATAAACCAATGAAACTACATAGAAATAAAATCCTATTTAAATATCACATAGCAAAAATAATAACATCTTACCTATTAAAATTAGGGAAAGAAAGTACAGAGTTTTACCTATTATATTGAAAAGCTTTCTCATTTTCACTTTCATACAATGACCAGATATTATTTATAAAGTGTACGTACCACAGGCAGAAGTATCGGACCTGGGAAGAAAAAAATATGACCAGATTGATAAAAAAACCTGTGTTCATCTTAAAAGTGTAAAAAAAAACCCCAAAAAATGTTAAATATGATCCCCTTTAAAATATACTATAAGTTTAGAGAAGGCCGGAAACTCAAGAATCGAGGCTACGAGCAAGGGATTCATTTCCCGGGCCGTTGTGAAAACGATTGTCCAGACAATTAAAAAAAACTTTTATCTCTGTTTCATTTTTGTATTAAATCTGCAAATGAGATCGACACCAAGTCTCTGGCCCCTCCCGTTCATGAAATATCTATCAGGAAACGAACACATTTGTGCTAAAATTCCTTGGTAACCAAAATTGCGGCACAACGATTCGGTAAAGGTCAAAATCACTTGAATTTACTAAATGATATAACTAAATTCATTAGATGAGACCACTCACAACTGTTAGTAGCATCTGATACACACGAGATTCTAGCTCACTTCTGAAGACCTGGGGTGCACTTCTGTTGCGAGCGGGCACCTGAGTAGAATCATCGAAGTTTTGTAAGCTTGGTATTTTCCTTACCTGAAAGAATTGGCGGGAATCGAATCAACAGCAGTGAGTGGCAAGTAATTTGAAATTACCACATAGCCACAAACGTCCAAAAGTTCAAAGACGCAGTCATACGTTTGCTCTAGCGTTTCAGATTGCGGAAACTGTACATTGCAATAATATTATCTTTTTAACTTTAATTTCTTTTAATGCTATATAACAGAAAGACGAAAGGGATGTCAAAGCTCGGCCATTGTGGTGCGCTAAATAATGTTTAAGAGTTCTTGTTTTCAAATACAGATCCTTTTAAGATAAACGCGTTAGATAAAGCATAATACAAAACATGCACATTTATGTATTTGTATATTAACAAGAGCTGTCGGTAGGACAGCAACGCTCGACTATTCTAGTGCATGATAGTAAAAAATAATGCTTGATGGAGTTACCTACTCCTGTTTACAGGTTGGTGACATGATGGTGAACAAGTATGCAAAGTTTCAAAGCCATATGTCAATGGACTTTGAAAATATTTGAGGTATTACAAAAAACTTTAACGTAAATTCTAAGTCGAAAAAGGGGCATAATTCTGTCAAAATGCTTGATACAGTTACCTCCTCCTGCCTACAGGTTGGTGTCATGATGGTGAACAAGTGTGCAAAGTTTCAAAGCCATATGTCAATGGACTTTGAAAATATTTGAACTATTACAAAAACTTTAACGTAAATTCTTAGTCGAAAAAGGGGCTTAATTCTGTCAAAATGCTTGATACAGTTACCTCCTCCTGTCTACAGGTGGGGGTCATGATGGTGAACAAGTGTGCAAAGTTTCAAAGCCATATGTCAGTGGACTTTGAAAATATTAGAGGTATTACAAAAACTTTAACATAAATTCTAAGTTGAAAAAGGGGCATAATTCTGTCAAAATGCTTGATAGAGTTACCTCCTCCTGTCTACAGGTTGGGGTCATGATGGTGAACAAGTGTGCAAAGTTTCAAAGCCATATGTCAATGGACTTTGAAAATATTTGAACTATTACAAAAACTTTAACATAAGTGGTTACGCCGACGCCGACGCGGACGCCGACGCTCGGGTGACTACAATAGCTCTACTTATTCTTATCGAATAGTCGAGCTAAAAATGAAAAGTTTTATAGTATTTAACCTTAAAGGACCATTATGTCTCAGAAATGGTATCAATTTTATTTCTCAAAAACTTAAGATTTTTTGTATCTTGTTACAGTTTTCACAAAAATATTTAAAATCTATAGTCATGAACTACTTTTGCTACATTTTTTTCTGTGTTGACAACCAATATAATTATCAGTATTTTGTATCGAAGTCAACATACAGCTTTGTTTACATTTTACTACCTATACAACATATTACATGTAAAGGGCTACTTTCCCCAGTTATATAATGTAATAGGGGTGATTCGGCGCAAGTTAAGTGAGGGCTAAATGAGTTTGGGATTGTTAAAATTAATTTAACAAACAGCTTTAAGGTTTTAATATGTTTATATATTAATTCCATTTTTAATTACTGTAAGGTTGTTACAAATAGTTGATTTTATAGGTACGAACAAGTAGATTCTGTAGGTACAAAACAACAGAACAGAACAGAGTTTATTTCATAACTTGTACACACATAAGTACATCGTAATAACAAGCATTTTGAAATATAATTTTAGGTCACATATTTTACAATGAAACAAGAGCTGTCACAGGAGACAGCGAAGCTCGACTAATAAAATACTGGACGCAGTAAGGAGGACAAAATTATGAAAGGAAAATCAATTATGTATAATTATGTATTAAGTTATAGTAAAAAAATAACATTTGTTAACATAAATTCCAAGATCAAGGGGAATAATTCTAGAAATAGTCATGCTAGAGTTATGGACCTTTTCACACAACATTTGTGTAATGATAAGAAATATATATTTGAAGTTTGAAGTAGATACCTTAAAAAGTAAAGAAGTTATTATATTTCTTAAAGAAAATCCTAAGTTCAAAGAGAGATAAATCTGTAAATATTGCTTTAAGAGTTATGAACATTGTCACATAAAATGTAATTGATGATAAGGAATAAGTATTTGAAGTTTGAGGTAGATACCTTTAAAAATAAAAAAGTTATAATAAAAAATAACATTTTTCTAGTAAAAAAATCTAAGTTTATGGGGAGATAATTCTTGCAATATTGGTGCTAGAGTTATGAACCTTGTCACATAAGATGTGGATGATGATAACGTAAATATATTTGAAGTATGAAGTTGATCCCTTTAGAAATAAATAAGAAACAGTAAAAAATAATATTTTTTATGGAAAATTCTAAGTTTAAAGGGAGATAAATCTCAAAATATTTGTGCTAGAGTTATGAACCTTGTCACATAAGATGGGGATGATGATAACGTAAATATATTTGAAGTATGAGATTGATCCCTTAAGAAATAAAGAAGAAACAATAAGAAATAGCATTTTTTGAGGAAAATTCTAAGTTCAAGGGGAGATAAATCTGTAAATATTGGTGCTAGAGTTATGAACCTTGTCACATAAGATGTGGTTGATGATATGGAACATATATTTGAAGTTTGAAGTTGATACCTTAAGAAATGACAAAGTTATAGTGAAAAATATTTTACTGCACCAAAACTTTAATCTAAAATCTGGACGCGGACGCGGACGCCGACGCCGGGGCGAGTAGGACAGCTCTCCATATACTTCGTATAGTCGAGCTAAAAAACAAATCAATACAATACTGAGCAATGGGATATTTAATACATACAATGTAATACATCACAGATACTGACAAAATTCCATTAATCAATTATATATTCATATCTTTAAATCAATTCTGTAAATGAATAATGAAGAGTACTAAATTTTAGCGGAGAACAAAATTTAACTTTGCTTTTAATCGAATTTGTTTGACAAATTATTTATATAATATACAGCAAGAACATCAAGGTATATATAATCAAAACTGCATAATAATACTATTGAACATTTCTAAAGTTATTATTTCGTCTGATGTTTGCCTTTTTTAAATAATAATATAAGTTTGTAAGTACTTTATGGCTTTTAGATTGCAGTAGTTCTATAAATTTGGCCATACTAGGCCTAATGTAAAAAAACGCTTAATATATTGGCTACGTAGATTTTCATAAGCACTGCAAACTAAAACAAAATGATATTCGTCTTCGAGTTCGTTAGCATCACAGAATTGACAAGTTCTTTCGTGGCGTTCTACACGGCCTCGACCATACCTTCCGGACTCAATTCTAAGCCTGTGGGAGGACACTCGAAGGCGTATAAGAGCGTTTCTAAATGATTTACAATTAATCTTATCTATATATAATTCATAACAGAACTGTTCTTTTACATATAAATATAAATGACTGAGCACACCATTACAAGATACATCTGCACGCCATTATAACAAAATAAATAACAATCAATATGTCCTTGTTTAAAATTAGGTAAGAACTGTTTCAACAATACACTATCGGGAAAATTCCATATTTCGGCCAACCAAGTACCGCAAGTAGTTTTTTAATTTACATGCCATTTTCACATTTGTATAATAATAAAAAGTAAAATAAAATAGAAACAATGCATTACATTAATTTTTATTATATCTTATATTCTGGTTTAGAACATAATTAATTACATGTCTAGTGGCCATTTTATTTTTTTAAACTTAGCTACAGTCCTTTAATATTATATTTCGTGACCGAATTCAAAAATGAAGTGAATGAGGCCCGTCAACGTGTTATAGGTCAAATGAAGTTATTAGTATGAAGTTGAATAATGATATGAATGATTGAAAAAGAGACGATAGGGGAATGATATAGAGTATGGGTATGAAATACAGAGTATTCTAGCAAAGACAAAATGACCCTGTGACATACTTCCCCGCCAAGGATAAAATGGCGTCCCGACATTTTCAACTCATAAACACAAATTACTGATACCTGCATATATATCAAAAACCATACTGTCTAACTTCAGTAGAACTTTTACTAAGGACATGGGTCTCGTTAAAGTACTTCTGTCCTAACAGTGAAATTACCAATAACGGTAATGTATGCTGCTTGAAAATGCTGTAAGGCATTAACAACCAGAAAAGTGCCCGAAGCACTGTTGGGAATGGTGAACGCGTTCTTTGGGGATTGTGAACCATGCACGTTAGTACACTGACTCATCTACAAAACTGTAGAACTTGTGTTATGTTTTCACATTACACAATATTCAAAGTAACTATTTCAGAGTAAATAAAATTTGACAAATTTCTTTGAAGAAATTTTACAAATCGGTTAAATACAAACCATACTTACAAATATACAGTAGGGTGAACGTTTCGGTTGTCAAAAATAGCGTTTTTCGTGCGTGTAACGTGCGTGCGTATAGCGTGCAACGTGCGTTTGCTGAAACGCTTTCTCAAGCGTGCATCGTTTTCAAGCGTTTAACGTTTTCCGTGTATCGTTTTTCGTTTATCGTGCATCTGAAAGCGTGCGTTTCTTATTTAGCGTGCGTATGCGTTCGTCTAAGCGCTTAAGTACCGTGTTTTGCGTCTGTTACTATTCAGAAGTAAAAGAATATCTTAGATAGATATATTATGTAAATTTGTTGTTTCTTAAACATGTAAGAGATGTTCCGTGTCCCTGTCAAAGAATAGAAATATTATGTAAAGAAGTATTATTGTGATGTTTACATTAAAGTTTTAAAGTTTGTGACCTCGCGGTTTTCTACATGCTTTACGCCGAAGATTAATTAGTTTTAATCCTAGTTTACATACGCATATAAGATTTAGTTACTAATTAATTGCAACATTTTTGATATTAAATTCAGCAAACAGGTGTTTATATTCTTACCAATATATATTAGATATGAGGTTCGTCAGACATCAAATGATGGTAATCAGACTAGCACCCCACCCCCTTTACAAGTTCATCTTCTGACTTTTCATCAAAGACTGTCCGAACCCGATCCGAATCCTATTTAGGGTGATAATTATTGTAGACAGTTCCTCCCTATTTTTCTTGACAGATTTATATTGATATGTAACAGCCTGGCAGGGACTCGAACCCCTGACACTCGGAATACCATTTCGCGGCTCGAGTTCCTCCGAGCTATTCGGCCGCTTATAATTACACGTTTTACTTGTTAAAATTCTGAATCGTTATAAACCTACTGTGTATGCAAATATTTCTTCGAATTTCCCAGGGTTACTTAGCATTGTGATTTAATTTCTACCTGGGCTATACAAATGTTATATCAGTCACAGGGTGAGAAAAAAGTGCATCCTGACATGGACTCGAACCCGTGACCCTCTAAATACCGTACCGCGGCTGTACCGACATTTGTTAATAGTTTCATTATTTGTACATGTATGGTGAACATTTTACTAATTATACATTGTACTATTTCTATATTTTTGTACAAATAAAAATAGCTAGATTTTTTGCTAGATAAATTCTATGGTGGCTAAAATATACCATGATGTACTTTTTAGACATTTAATCACAACAGACAGGCTAAGCCACCCTTTACAAAATTCCCCTATCTGTCAGCTCATTATCAAAGCAAAGACTACTATTTCTGTATGTGGCCTGGGCTTTTAAAGCCCTTTATTTTGTTTCAAGATCTGTCTGACAGTCATATTGATGTATTGTTACTTGTGATATTTAATAAATATATATTATGTTTTGTTAAATAATGATACCTTGATTAGGGATTTCTATGAATTTCAACCAGTCCAATCAAACAAAGAGAATACAATGATATAGCAATATAGGAGTATGCAAGCGGACTGATAGCTTAGCCGGTAGTCAGCTTCGACACTGTATTCAAGGGGTCCCGGGCTCAAGTCCCAGTCAGGCTGCATATTTAAAGTGTGTCTTTACACAATGTTTGTATAACGCTAATGACGTCATGTCAATTATATGCACAGATGTGCAATACCATATTTACGGAGTGGCAAAATTGGCACCGGTGTGTGATAAAGCATTATATTATCACACACCAGTGCCGATTTTGCGACTCCGTAAATATGGTATTGTACGGCCGTGCATATATTTTGACATGACGTCATTAGCGTTATACAAACATAGTGTAAAGACGTGCTAAATGTTAGCGTTAAACTATAGGCGCGTCAAAGAAAAATGACTCTGATTTCACTTTAAACGGTCTTTATTTTTAGTATGTGTTAAATAGAATATTATATTAAATTTGTTCAGTTCATTACTGAATTTATTGCACTCATTGAATAAAGTAAATATTATGCTCACCAGAGGTCGCATAATATAATTTTATTCAACTCGTGCAATAAATTCAGCATTGAACTTACACTCATTCAATATCCTCTTTTTAATACATATTAAGCGCACGTAAATAAATTTCAATTTTAAGTGATATGAAAAATATTTTCTGTTGCGCTGTCTTTGTAAATCCAATAACTTTACATCACAACCGGTTTCCTTATTTTCCTCATTTTTTTTCCTCTCGACTACTGTTTCAGACCTAAAATTAAATTGCGTTTTTAATATTTATATATACATATACTCATATTTTGTAATGCCCTAGAAATTTTACCTTTTTTTGTGATTTCACTGGATTTCAGTAGACTGTTTATTTCTACTTTCACTTTCGTTTTGAGAAAATTTTACTGGTGACAAGACAAGATAAATCATGCGGTGTCCTAATGAAACATACAGGACATCAACTTAAATCTACGTATTGTGCCAGCAATTTAATCATTCCTGATTCTGGAAGCTTTTCCCTTAATTTTATCCATTTCCCTTCATGTTATCCGTGGTAGAATCCTGTGTTTTTAATATGTTTTCGTGACTTCTGTCAAAATAGTTTATTCCTTTATTATACACTCAATATTATATAGTTTGATTGTTTATGATGCAGCCTCACTTAATATATAGATATGCCTCATAAATCCATCTGAATTTAATTGTTAGCACTGTATATTTATAAAAATTTGCAATGCATAATTCAATGTCGGCATTGTTGGACTATTCCGCGAATATGACTGATATTTGATATTAAGACATACCGCTATTACGTAGAGATTACGTAGTGAATGCAAGGGATAGTTCTTTATTTGATTGCGCATAAAAAGGAACACGTTATCCTAACTATTTTACTTTCGATATTAGCGCACGATAGCTTATAAATATTTCAAAAAATCATTTGTTGAGGCTGTGACAAAAATTAATTTCGGAGCTAGGTTGAGTGCATTTCAGTTCTTACATAAACTCGTTTAAAATACATTTCTAGCTACCATACTATTGTACTGTATAGATCTATATGATAATCAAAATTTATCGCTAAACGATCTACATGTAGCTAAAGTTGTTAAAAACCTAAATTTGTACTAACAAATTTTAACTGTAGCAGCTTTTCGGACCTTTTTATTGTGAATATAATTCAGTGCCAGTAAAAAATATTAATTTTGTCCAAAAAAAAAAAAAAAACACACACAACTTTCCAACATTTTCCATGTCGTCTGAAAATACATTGTTCAAATTATTGATTCACCTGAAATGGGGTCTCAGTTATTGCACATGGACATTCAAACTAAAATTCCCCAGGTGTTCTAAATATCACAAGTTTCTAAGGTAACTTTAAACAACATGCAAAACTTCAAACCATATAAATCGCTGTACTATTTTAACTGCTGTATTGCATAGAAAACAAATAACTCTCTGATTTGATGAAGTAATATAGATGCCCTTCAGGTAAAATAGACTGTACTGGACGAAACGATGAAGGGCCGGAAGACTTTTAGGAAACCAGTAATGTTTTCAGTAAAAACGTTCAGATTAAAAACTCGGATTAAAAAAACTGTTCACCATCTATAACATATATTTTTTGTTAGTGGAGAGAAAATGTGAGTTATTAAATATGTTTGTTTTTTCAGGGCAACTTTCTCTTTAATCCTATGTATTTCTATAAAAAAAACTGTCCACGATATTATAAGACGAGCGTCTTAGCTAACTGTTCTCTTGTGCATCGCACGAATTAAAACAAAAAACCAATATCCCTGTAGCTCCGCCTCCAAAGCACACAATGGGAATAGCGTCGGTTAATCAGTTTATTCGATTTACCTGGTTAGTAGCACTGGTTGTTAAAAGCTCAGTTACTTAAATAAATTCTTTCAAAATTTGGAAAATACTGCCATCACATTGGACAAAGAATAATTTCAAACACTAATAACTATTTACCATTTACTAGACTGATTAACAGTTTATCTATTTACTAAAGTAAATATGTTACGATTTATTTGAAATACCGAGATCATATTGGACAAAAATAATTTCAAACACTAATTTGTATTAAGACGTTTTTAAGAAAGAAAATAAATGTTCAACAACAATGTATTATATAATGAAAAAGCAATGATAATATTAAAGGAGCAGACCCATATCAGACAAGTGTGTTTCGAAATAAAAATGTACTGAAGACTAAGTTATATTTCATATGTTTGGCGCCAAAATTACCTTTGTTCCTTTCTCCTCTGTATAAAAGTCATCAAGAGAGGTGTGAAGCCCAAAGAAAATGTCATCATTCATTAGTAAATAAACTTTTCGGAAAGTCCCGGGATTTTATGTAAATTATGCTCTATAGCGGTGGAGGAAACGTATGCATCATTTTTTTTTTACATCATTTATGACTTTGATCTATGCCGCGTTGGCATAGTAACCATCCAGGTTCCATTTTTAAAAAAAATCAGTTTTGAATACACCACTAGAACAAACGTTTACTCAACAATACTCAAAGTAATCTACAGTGAATCTGAATTAATTAGAACTATAAACAGATCCAATTTTTTTTCACAAGAAAATAAATAAGTTTACAAAGACAAATAATTATCACAGAATAGTTTAATTGTTTTTATCGATGGTTCATGATACTAAGTTCCTCTTGCTCTCTTTTGTCTGACATTGCCACTGTCAACTTGGCCAGGAATTGACTAAACTGGTTCCTCACGGCCTCACTGTCTTCTTCAATGTTTGTATGTACCACAGGAATGTTGCTGAAACATGTTGCTGGAAAATAAACAACAACAAGATTTCTTAAATGTTTATGGTATTTGGTTGTGAGAGCCTACAGATGTAGCCGCGTAAGCCTGTAAGAATACCAGACTCTTTGTACGGTAAATACTCGTACTTGACGCACATGTTAGTACAGTTCGACTTTTAACTATGATAATAAAGCATGCTATTTTACACGAAAACCAAAAAGAAACGATGAAGTTAAGCTAAGAATTATTTTTTTTTAGAAAGTAAAATTTTATTTTATTATGCAAAATACGTCAATGTTAGAAACCTTTCTGAGAAATGACCGTCACAACAATAAACGTTAATATTTCGCTTATTTGTTATATTTTTGGGTATATTTACTTGTATAAAGTATAATAAGTTCACTGAGTACGTACTACCAAATTGTTTCCAATTAAGCGACCATTGAATTTTAACGATGTTTTACGAACCATATAGATAACAGATACAATTTTTATGGGATTGAAAAAAATATCAGGTAGGTCACCTTAATGTATTGCTCCGTGATCAAAGAATCATCAAAGAATCATCTAAAACTTATTTACAATTTACTAAACATACTGAAATCAATGGTGATATCAAAATACAAAATTTAAATACATCATCCACAAATGTAACTACCTACCAAAATAAAATATAACATAAGGTTTCTATAATGCACACATAGCGACAAAATATATATAATTATATAATTTTAATACAAATATGGCATTCTCAAACAAAGGTATACAAGGACATGCATTTGAAAAATGAACAAATAATGCACACAATCTATAATAATTTCTGACAAAAAAAGAGAAAGTTTATGCTGTTGGTATAAAAACACTCATTTAAATCATCATAAAATAAGGCAATTTTCTGACGGAAGATCATATTTTCATAGAAAAAAATTTCCTAAATAAATACCATTACTATCACAGCCTTGACTGCCACAAATTCAATCTTTAATTAATTTCCACAAATATATAAAATGTATAGATTCTGCAGAAATTGAAAACATTACAGCATCATGCCTCCCGAATCATGCTAATATAATGAAAAATTTTATACTTGTGTTTAAAAGTATTATAATGTTGGGAAGTGAACAAAGAAAGGAATTTACATATTGCAAACAGCACTTGCCATGCTTGCAATCCACATGGGAAATAACCAAAACCGGGTAAAGATTAAACAAAAATATGCAAAAATAGCCCTTACTACAATGTTCGTTATAGTAACACTGTAGAAATATTGTGATAAATACTGCAAAATCAGTCATTAAATCTTTTTACTTTTCTTAAAATCTTATTGTCAATGTTCTGCAATTTTATGATAGTGCCTACTCTCATATATATATAAGTGTCAATTTTCAATAGGATTACATACAGAATGAGACATTCATGTTTCTTTTAAAAATAACATCTATTTGTTTGTATAAGACAAAAGAATGACATAAGCTCAGAAGCTACAAAGAATAAAGAACAACACAAGGAGACAATTGCTTACCAGATGGCCGGGCTGGTGCATTCGCTACATACATGCAATGTGCAATTTATATAATGTTTCTTTCTTTATATTATACTAACATATTAATTGGGGAAAATGACATATAAACTAGTACAAATCTAGTACATATTTAGCTAAAGAGAGATAACAACAATTTCATTGGGTTTCAAATGAATAAATAATAAATTTAATGACAATATATCAGGGGTTTTATATGGAAGAAATACATGTACTACATATGCTTTTCCCAGTAAATTATCTTGGGGCTTCATTAATAAGTATTGTAGTGTGAAATTTCAGGCACTTTTAGGGGGAAAATTAGGCACTCTGAAAGAAAAAATGCCTCATTCACTTTCTCTTATTTAGTATAATAACTAAATTGCAAATATAATCATATACAATACATGTATATAAGCTTTAAAAGGACCTCCACTGAGGTGACAGAGCCTAAAAACATAAAATGTGAAATGCTTGTATAGATCAAGTGATACACCTTAAACAGAAAAAAAAAGAAGATATATTAATCCAATCAATGAAGTGTTAAATTAACTGAAAATCAATTTTTGCATGATTTTTAGCCCAGACTGAGTGCGAATTGGAATTTTATTTCAAAATATTTTTGGAAAATAGAATGGGGGCATTATCTGAAATTTTGCACGCAAGTTATAAGTTCAGACCTTCATCGAATGGTATACAAGACTAGGTGAAATATTTCAAGTCTATTCATTAATTTAAAAAAAACTCAATGGAGTACCTTTAAATTGCTATAATGCTAGCACCAATAACGAATTTACTATCAAATCAAAGCAACCACTCTGTCCAGATTGTGACTGTGTTGTTTCAATTTATATGTTTTTATCTAAAATCAATAAACCAGTCTATAGACGGTTCCAATTTCTAAGCAGGTAAAATCCACACAGAGATTCAACAGGGTGATTAGTTACAATAATATCCTATTAGTGTTAGAATTACTAAGGGGTAATACAATGTATATAGAAATATGAAGATGTTTAGTAAAATTTTTACAACATCAAGAGTAATACATTATAAAAATGGTACAGACTGCTCTGATATTTATAGCTAATAAGTATTAATGCATATATATATTTGTAATATCATATACAGTGATAACAAATTAAAGTATCAATGTTTAGATGTACATGTATGTGTTTCATGAATGAAGTTTGTTTTGACATGATAAAGGTGATTATGGTGACTTTGACAGCTTAACTGGTGGAGGAAGAGTTTAGGTGCCCAACCTTGCTTTATTTCAGGCACAATGGTAGAACCACAAAGCTTTCATATATGGTAACTTAACAGCACAATCTGAAGTCTTTTACAGCTTTGCAGGGTATGAACCCACAGCTGGGAGGGACTATCTGGACTAATGATTTGAAGTTGACAACCATACCATAACAATAACCACTCAGCCATGGGTGCCCCAAATAAAATTTAATTTGTACTTATTTAATTCAAATGTATTATAAATGCACTTGAAACAGACCAATTTAAAAATGCCAGGAAAATTTTAACCATGTTTGTTTTTATTTCTTTAAAGAATACCATTATACTGACCAGTAAGAAATCTAGAAACAGATCTAACATATAAAATTACCATGTCAACAAATAAAATATGATAAAACAATAGCTGCAAGTCAGACGGTGCACCTGAGCATTTTTAGAAATGAAAGAAAAAAAGAAACCTTTTAATTAATGGGAGTTAATCTAGTAAAAAATATGCTCGAATTATAGGTGTTAGTCATTACCCCTACAATTATGAACCTGACCCTAAGATTTGATTTGATCTGACAAGTGAATATCCTAAGTTATTTGAAAATAAATCTTACATGCTTTATTTTTAACAATATTTTTTTTCATAATTAAATCAATGGACATATTAGGTCTCTTTGTTGCTCTAGGCCTTTGAAATGCTTATAACTACAATGTATGTGTGATGTATTAGGTGAATACATTTAGTTTATTAATGACATATGAAAATGCATGCAAAACTATAACCAGGTGTTGAGTAAACGATAATACAGGTGTGTGTAGGACCGCGGCGCCCTGCGTTTCTGCAAATAGTTGTGCTTACAATGAGATTTAGAATATTTTAGCATTGATTTCATAGCTTACAATATTTATTGCTACAGTGGTGCTGTACACTCTAACATCAACCAATCCCTGTCATTCTGTGCAATTTAAAATCTTTTAAAAGATACAGAAAAAATTAGGAAAAATAAGATCACATTAGTAAAACAAAATTTAGAAATGTTTTTAGCAAGACTCACATAATTGTGCTCTCTCCCTGTCAGGGGCACTAGGTTTATGGTGAGCAAAAACACAACAAGATGTTTCCTTTATACCCTGGTCATCAATAAAATATGCATACCTGTAACATAGAAAATATTCAAGATTTACATTTATTATAATTATGCTTATAATTGAAATATTGAGAAATATCAATATAAATTGCTTATTTTCATTTTCCTTATTTTCACTGTAAAAATTTATTTTTTCACTGCAGTGAAAGATATTTTCTGTATTTTCACTGGTGTCTTACTGGGCTTCTTTCATCTAAATTCAGCCAATACACAAAATTAAAGGTGAAGTATTTCAAATTTTAGGGTAAAAAAAGAGAAATATCAAATAAATCCTGTATTCATAGAATAAAACTTGAATTATCCTCTATTTATTGTCATTTTATTATTAAACAAGTTAACGGTTGTTGACATCAAATTTCTTGATTTTTGCAGTTATTATGAAGTATGAACAGCCCCTACAATTTTTTCAAATACATATTTGTTTCATAATTATATTTGTTTTAATTCTTTAGAAATGTCAAACATGTGTTTAATAATGTTTAATTAATAGATTATGGTAAGTGCATGTTAGATGTTTTATAACTGAAATAAGACTTTAGTAGCACTGAACATGCGGTTACATGTAATTGTCGTACAGGCAACTACATATAAACAATGTAGTATTTTGACTGTCACTTCCATACAATTTAGCACTTCACTATAATTATACCAATTTCCAACAGAACGAATGATGCAAAGATGGTTCATGTGTATAGCAAATGAGTTTGTTTTTGGAAACTGCAACAAGATACCAAAAATAAACAGATTTTGAGAAAGACATAATAGGCCTTTAATATTATACAGGCTCATGTATTAAAACAAAAAAAGGTTTTACCAGTTTTCTAGATCTTTATCATGGTTAGGTTGGTCAGGATTATAAACAAATATGATTCCTGTGGTATCTCTAGCCATTGCCGGCCAACATGCCTCAAACCTGAAATTATCAAATATTAACATGATGTTATAAATATACTTTATGGTAACCTTAAATAAAAAAAACCTGTACAAGAGCAGATCACTTGGAAAAGATATTTTTATTCCTCTAATATTAAAAAGCATGAAAACAAAATATTAACAATTGCAGACTTGGTTAGATATAGTCCAGGGTTCAAATTTAAGCTTGCATACTGGCAAAATGCCAGTTAAAAACTAAGACTGCCAGCAAAAATGACATTAGCTGGTATTTATTTGCAAGTAATTGTTCATTTTAGACATTTACATAACTGATATCTTCTGCACATGCTTAGAAACTGTCTGCTGCAATAAATGAAGATGTTTACTGTGCCAGATGCAGTAACTGATGATGTTTGTAAAAATACATTTTAGGTTGCTCTATTCATTTTTTCTGTGGATATATTTAGATGGACTGTTTATATTATAATAGGCAAACACTTTTGGTTAGCCCATCAAAGTTGTTCATGGTCGAATATTAATGAGTAGCACTTGTCTGTAAAGTGTTTACTTTCAAGCTGAAATATTTATTTAAGTAGATTAGTACCTCAGTACCGATTTTTCAGTCTGTTGGTCTAATATCAGCTGGTCAATTTACAAAGTATGTTAAAATTAATAAAGGTCCCATGAAATTGCATTACATGAAAGTAACTGTACATTGTCACTGGTGGTTCTAGTCTAAATAGGCAGGTGTTCCTCTGATATATAAATATTCCTGATCCCTACACAACTGTTTATCAATTATAAATTAATGTGTTGAATTGTTTTTGTTTCATTACAAGTAGAGATCTGTGTTTACTAGTGATAAATATGTCTCTCTACTCCCTAGACATGAAGCTAAATATCATTTTGTCATTTCATAAGTTCAGAATAAAGTAAAATTGCAATCTCTCATGCCACCTATCATCAAGATTAACAATATAAATCCTCAACACTAAATGTACATTGCAATCTATGAACTGGAAGGACCAGAAAAATATAACAAAACTGATATGAAGTTTGGGGCGACTTTTACGGCTGCCACACAGTTCTCGACACCTGATGTTGTAACCATATGGCACTTCACCATGAGTAAAGTCTTTAAGTTTTAGCAAGTGTTACAACAGATCTATTTATTTCATATAATACTTCCAGTAATGTTATTAAGCTCCATTCTAATCACTGATTAATTGTAATTGTATTTTAAATTAGCAAACCTACCAATGCATGCTAAATTTCTTGAAAATTTTGAAAATGTTTTTAAAAGTAGAATATTGTGAAGTAACCAAAAGGAAGCAATTTACACATTATCAACCTATGTAAATTACCAAAAAGAAGTCAAAATATGCAAAAATGTACCTTAGTGCCCAGTGATTTTTTTTACTTATATAACAGTCTCCGAAAAAAGGCCTCTTCCCAATTGAAATTTTCTTTAAAATCATGCAGTTTTCCCAAAAATATAAACTTAAACCAGCTTTTTTACTTCCCAAAACAGCAATTTTAAAGATAATTTTTCCCAAAATCAAGAGGCTAAGGCCTCTTCCCAATTAAGTGAGAAAAATCACTGCAGTGAATTAATTAGTAATACAGTAGAAATATAGATGTAAAATCACTTTAATATCAGTCATTTATTGCACATTATATGTAAATTATTACTTGAATCTTTTTTACTTTTCCTAAAATCTTAGAACATTTTTCTCAGGTTTGATTTTATTGAAATACTTTGACTCAGCTGGAAGCATGCAGCTTTAAGGCCCAAATAGAAATTCAAGAAATATACAAATGAGCCGCGTCATGACAAAACCAACATAATGGGTTTGCGACCAGCATGGATCCAGACCAGCCTGGGCCTCCACGCAGTCTGATCAGGATCCATACTGTTCGCTTTCAAACCCTAATACAAGTAGAGAAACTGACAACGAAACAGCATGGATCCTGATAAGACTGCGCGGATGCGCAGGCTGGTTTGGATCCACGCTGGTTGCAAACCCATTATGTTGGTTTTGTCAATACGCGGCTCAAATTATTATCTTACTTTTTATCACCACTACAGTCCCATAACTCTACCTCAACAGCAGACTGTCTACCATGTCCGGCACTTGGATTGTGATTTTCAAACTCCAAAATTCTGAAAATGGAAAAACAAGAGGCTAAATTCTTCACTGAATGCAAGATTTGATATGGTGAAAAAAAAGGTTAAAGACTGTTACTGAGGATGTTGATTGGAATATAAATTAATGTACATGTATACATTTAAAATGGTAAGAAATTGATGTACCTACATAACCTTTATCAAGTTCTTATACTTTTATCTTTCAATGCTGAATTTTGAACTTTTTGGCTGGGTGTCCTATATGGTAATTATTACTATCAGTATCTGTACAGTGTGTACCAAATACATGTACAGTATTTCAACTAAAAGATAGGACAATAACACCTTTACTTTTTTATCATGAAAATAATAAACTTATATTAAAATATAATATTTTTAAAAATTGCAGCAATTTTTTACATTTAGCATTTATCTTTCTGAGTCTATTTAATGAATTCAGGGCTTTGATCATGACCTTGCAGCTCTGGGTAAAAAGCCTTGCAACATGTTGTAGGCCACCCACATACATTTGTACGTTCTTTTTTGTTACTTATATACCCATCTACTTTAAGAAATGACCCAGCTTATTTCAAACATTAAAAGCTCAGCCCAAGGGATAATCTTGCTTTTGATTTTATCCACTATTAATTAAAGAAATTCTAATATGCTAATCTCAGACAGGCATTCATTGGTAAAGTGTCTTGTGGCAGGGAACACCAGTATCATTCAGGGAGTAAACTTTCATACCTAACACCTTGTGTTGGATGATAATCTCCACTAGATGTGTCCGTTGCATCTGCTAGGAAATTTGATAAAGCTGTTTTGCCACTCTGTTAAAAAAGAATACACATTAAAAGTTTGATAAATATATCTTTTGTAAATAAAGTGCTGTATGGGTTGTAAAGGAGTTGGAGAACTTAAATTGGTGAATCCAAAGACTGAGTCTGACACAATGTGCTTCAGATATTTCACTGGTACTTTTTTTTTGTAAACTAAATTATGACACAAATATCATTAATGAAGATGAAAAATATCATACAAGTAGGCTACAAATAAAAAATTAAATTCTTAAAGAAAATAATGAATAAAATTATTCAGGACTCTCAGTAGGGTCAGAATTTCACGAGTCAAAGACTCTTTGGCCAAAATTTTCATGAGTCAAATAATTTTTTTCTAGTGTCATTTGACTACATGAATCATTTTTATGTTACAAAATTTACTGTTTTGGAGGTCATTTTGTGTAGATTCTCAAGTCTAAATTGATAATATTTAACATGGAAAAAATGCCCTGTTATAATGTATAATTATATACGCCCCCCCCCCCCCCAAAAAAAGAAGAAAAATAAGACATCAAAAAACAAACAAATAAAAAATTAATAGCATCTTTACTGTGAAAGAATAAATTAAGCAGCAGCTTTTCTGATTAAAAATATAAAGAAATATCTTTACTGGTATGCTACTGTATATGTCATATTAATTTTAAATGCACTAGGAATATTTAATGGAAAAACACAAATGTACAGGCACTCCAAGTAAATCAAAGACGTATTATAAACCTTTAAAAGCAATCAATAATTGACACCTCAAGTATGTAATTCTTATCAGTTGTGTAGAGCTATTTTTAGCACTGTCAAATTGCAGCCACTGAATTGTCGCGCTTCAGTGCACAGGCTATAAACAATGCTGTGTATTACACACGGTGACATTTTTTTAGTGTGATTTGAACACATGTAGGATTTGATAGGTAATTAGGTGTGGATTTAAGGTAATTATTATTGCATAGTTGAAAATCCCACGTGGCAAATTGACTCTTTAGCAGATTTTATCACGTGTCAAATTTGTGCATTTCTTGATTTTCACGAGTCAAAACCCGGATCCCCGTGTCAATCGAGAGCCCTGATTATTGTTTTAATTTTCAAAGATCTTGTCTTTAATTGCATGAAAATGCATGGAGAAAACCCACAAATTAACACCTACGATAATTGATGTGCCCAGTATACAATAGATATTTTTAACACTATCAATTAAGTTCTCCTAAACCACAATCTATTTTATTATACGCGGAAAGTCACGTCTACATAATTCAGACTATTGCAGACGCATGCTTAGTAACACTTCCGGTGAAAGAATGATGTACAAAATCAGAAAAAAACCTGCATTTCATTGATAAGAATTTAGTAACGATTATAAATATAAATAGTTACTTTAACATATCCTTTTTGATAAATTAGCACATTAAAAATAACGTTAAAACAACATCTGTGATTAGAGATTAACAAAAAATGGCGGACGGGATTTTCCAAACGCCGACGCATGCCCAGCGTTCCCCCTTCACGTTCGGAGATTTTCGGAATATTCCGAGCGCTCCGATGATAGGTTAAACACCACCAATTTATTCGTTTTGTTTATATGGTACAAAATACCTTCGTTTACATGTAACTAAATATGTTATGCTCAAATCATAATTCATAAGCTTTCCGCGCCATAGGTAGCACCTAATTTCATATTATAAGATAAGTTCCCCGAACCGGTAGTTCGCCGAAACCACTTTCACCCGTTAGAAAATATACTGTAGTGTGTAAGAGAAGGAATAGCTGTGGTACGTAATTCCAAGGGTCACAGGTTCCAGTTCATGTAAGGCTTCACATTTTTCTCATCCTGTGACATTTTGACTGCCTGGCTACTAATTTAGTAGTCCAATTGTACTGCGCGACGAGATATTGTGCTATTTTCGTGTCTGGGCAATATCTCGCCTCTAAGGATAGAGATTCTTGGTGTGAACCGTCTTGGTGTGGAGCGAAATGGCTTATGACCCTATGGATATAGCATGCACAAATTCTTAAAGGATTCAGAAAAGTAACACAAGATATTCATCATGTTCATACATATACATGTAGCTTTGCACTAACATGACAAAACCGTTTACTTTTTCACAGTGACAAACGCAAATATGACTCCATGCTCTTCAAAATAATGAAACTTTTTTTCAGAAACACATAACTGATACAAAGAAACTTACCTCACATGGTCCTAGCACTAAAATCTTTGCTTTAAACATGTTGTACTCAGCAAGACACCAACTTAGTGAAATAAACAAATATTTTCGATGGAATGCGTCTGTCGCGATGTATACTTCCGGCGGTATTAGAAATTATACCGTCTGTGACAATTATAAACATTTGAGGTTGAACGCCACTATTTGCATGTTCAACACTTAAAAAAAAAAGTCTGTCAAAGAGACATCGAGATAATTTTGGACGTGCGATGTATTTTCCCAACGTTTTGAAAGCAGGCAGAAAAAAAACCAGTCCGTTAAATGGTGCAAACCGTTCACCACAGGGCTATATATAAATATACATTCTGTAATACTGGGACAACAAAAAAAAAACCTGTATATTTTTGGTCCCAGTGTAATTTAAGTCTCTGACTAGTTTTAATTTAATCATATTTTATTGCTAATATATACATGTAAATATACAGAGAAACAAATTGATTTCGAAATAACAAATAGCAAAAGGGTTGGGCCCAAGTTCTTACAACATTAGCGATCGGTCCTCCCCTGTCTCTGAGGCTAGTAATAAATAAATATGTTGATGTATCTATTATAACTTTTTAGTCACATCACTGACTGCTTTCTTAATGATCTAACCAGTTGTCCTCTAACTAGGTATTACATCAGTGTGGAATGTTGAATATTGAGAGAGATGGTCGAACCTCTAACCTCCGCGCCAGAAACCAGGTACAACATACCAATTCCTTCACCGCATAAGTAATATTTATTGATGGAAAGGAATGCCATTTGAAATGTAATGAAGTTTATCCAGTTCAACGGCGAGTGTTGATCTTAAAGGGTCTTTTATTTTAATATTTATTGCCCTTTATTGGTGCGATTAAATAACAAAATTTTCGCTCTTAATTTTGTTCAGTAAGAAAAAACTTATGAATTATCTAAGTTAAAAATAAACATTGAAAGATCTGTTTATTATATGATATGCTCTTTAGTCTTAGTGTAGACTGTCTCTTTGATACCAGTTTGACAGAATGTTTTGACATGTAAACATAATTATACTTTCGTAGTTAGAATGAAATTTATGTATATTCAATGGTATTCTGGTAATAAGTGACCAGTGATCATTCAGACAATAGTACAGATCGATGCATTTGCTTGTAAATGTCTGTTTAGAACTATCTTGTTTGAATATTTAATCGCACTTGAAGCCTGACTGAAACACGGCACTTCACCGCTCAAATTTTGAAAACACCTCACTCCGTTAATCATGGAGCTAAATTATTTATATATCTGTGCCTTAACCCCTCATCCTAGAGTAAATATTTCAACAACACATAAAGTTTTTAAATTGTTGTTGTTTTGTTTTTTATAACCTTTTGTTAACAATTTTAACTTTTGAAAACTTTTTACACTTTAAAAATAACCATATAAAATAACACGAATGAAAATTTAAAGTTAACTTACGAGTGGACTTTTAGTAATTAACAACATTTAAACATATATTGTAATATAAAAGACACTTCATAGATACATGTAGCATTAATTAAGCAACTGAATCATTATAAACATAACATAACATAACATAACATAACATAACATAACATAACATAACATAACATAACAAACATAACAAAACATAGCATAACATACATAACAAAACATAACATAACATAACATAAAATAACATAACATAACATAACATAACATAACATGACATGGCATAACATGACATGGCATGACATGACATGACATGACATGATGATATGACATGATGACAAGACATGACATGATGATATGACATGACATTTACGTGACATAGCATAACATAACATTTACATGATATTACACACCAATTAATTATTTTTAAATCTAGGATTTAGTTCAAAGTCATATTCCATTGGTACACGCCTATAATCACCATTTACGTATTTTTTACACTTCTGTTTCAAATTAAGCAATATCAGAACGGCAAATGCTCCAATGAACACCCCACCAACTGCTGCCGCTACCAGTGCAGATCCTGTATATTGTACAGATGGATCTCTGCAAGAAAACAATACAAAAGAAATATGTTGTTATATCCATTAAAAATCACAACAAAGGAGCCCGGGAACGGGAATGCTGATTGCTGCGTATATTTCCGATCCTTTACATATTGTTTGTCCGACCTTTGAATATACTTTCATATTATCTGATAGTGTGGTCATTAGATAATAAACTCAATTTATCGAAATCTGTTATTATCAAAACCGGTCAAGTTAGTTTTATCGTGTTTTTAATGATTTGCTTCCTGTACAAACAGATAGAATTTCATACAATTCATAAGGCAAAAAATTAAAGAATAAATCGACATGAACATTGTTTAATGTTTTTTTCCTCTTTTTTTTAAAGCAAAAGAGTCGGTCCACATATTTGTAACAGAATTATAGGATCCTAAGTTTTATAAACCCTTAAAAATAAAAATATATAATGTAAATGATGTTTAAAACAAGTCCTTGGCTGGCAAACTTATTTGGAGATATTTCTCTACAAAGTATCAGTAAAGGCATGCTATTTAATTATTATGAGTACTTCTGTCAATATTATTCAAAGCATTTGTGATTTGTGAACATGTCCAGCCACTGATCAAATCATGAAAAAAGTATATAAACAATTGTAAACAATGCATACTTACAACCCGGCTTGACACGGGCCAGATGACGACTTTTCTGCATAGTTATTTTCAAAATCTGTTTTAGGGTATTCTTTTAATGTTCTTTGACTTTCCGTCTCTTTAAAATTTCCTGCAGCGCTCATTTGATTATCACTGACTTTCGAATTTGAAATCCTATCTGAGTTTGAAGTTTCAATACTGGTTTCTTTATTCTCAAAACTGAGAACTGACGGAATTTTACTGGAAATTTTTCTATTCGTTGACGAATTAGCAGATGGTCTAGTAGTTTCAGTCGGATATCGTTTCTTTGACATTCCGACAATATCCATCATTTTTTTCTTAGAGATACTTTTCTTTTTCTCAACTGTAGTTGAAGAATAAATATTTTCCTTCAAAGATCTTGATTTCGTACTTATTTGTACAGAATCAGTAGTCCATGATAAAACGACATTTTTACGTTTGGGTGTTTTACTAACTTTAACATCATGAGTGATTTTGCTCTTTGCTGACAAAACATTTTGAGATGGTAACAAATTACTTGTAACTTTATGTATCACCGACTCTTTGGCAACTGTTCTAGGTTTTGGCAGAGTTGTCAAATTATCGAATTCATCATTGTTTGTTCTATGATAATCTATAGTGAAAATGCCATTATTGTCTTTAGGGACACCTTCGTGCACTTTTGTCAAATTAGATTTTGATGATGCTAAGGTTGTTATTTTATCAGAAATACTACTAAGTCTTGTTAGGTGCTTACCAGATGTGCTGCTAGTTTTTTCTTCAATGGCAGTATTAGCTTTGATATACTGTTTCGGTACGTTTTTCTCTTCCTCCATCTCATCTCGAATGGTGCTTATTTCCCCTTCTACTTCTCCTTCTTTTTTTTCTTTATCTTTGGAAGTTTTCTCTTTTTTGTCATGTAACTTTCCTTTGTCGGATCCTTTAAATTCACTTTCGTCAATTTGAGGTTTGAATGTAATATCTAAGGTTTCCTCTAAGTTGTGTTTTAGATTTTCATTAATCTCCTTATTATGCGTTAGTTTATCTTTTATAGGTTTGTATGCGTGACTTTTAGCCTTTATAGTATCCTTTTCAAACAGGTTTGGAATATCTTTTTTATCATCTGTATTTAAAATATTATCTTTACTTTCCATTTTCTGATCGTTGTTACCTGCATACATGTATTTACCTTTGTTGTCATGAATACGAAGAGGTAAATTATGTTTTGTAGTATGAGTATTATCGGTTTTATTTCTATATTTTACATTCTTATACATTTCATCATCTGAATATTCACTTTCTTCGCGACTTAAATCTTGTTTCCCGTCATCATCTTCTTTTTCAGTATCTTTCTGATTAGTCTCTTCAGCTATCTCACGACCTGTGTCTTTAATTCCCTCTCTACCCGTATCTTCAGTGTTCTTTTGTTCTGTGTCCTTAGCATTTCCACGACCAGTTTCTTTGATTATCTCCTCATTGCGTATGTCTTCAGATTCTTTAAAACCTGTATTTCTATTTTCTTCTTGTCTGTCTTGTTCTTTATTATCATCCCAATCTGAATCTGTATTTTTCCCTAAACGTGTCTTTTTATTTTCTTTCTGACCGGTCTTTGGTTTTACTTTAAGATCTTTCTCTGAAGTTTTCACAGGAACGTTCTCTATATTATTTTCACTTTTAGCCTCTTTAGTTTCTTCTTGAACTGATTTTACCTCTCGATCTGTGTCTATATTGTCTGCTGTAGTTGTGTTTTTATTTACACCACGGTCGCTATTTTTAATATCGTCTCTTACTGTCCCTGAACTTATTTTCCGGTCTGTTTCTGTTTTTATTTCGTGGTATGTATCGGTCTTGTTACTATGATTAACTTTCACATTACTTTGTTTAATTACCTCTTTGCTTATTCTGTCAAAATCTGTGATAATATCTGATTTATCCATGCCACCTTTCTCCTTAGGATATGTGTCATGGTTCTTTTGGTTGTCATTTGATATCTCAGAAAGTATGTCTCTTGCACCAGTATCCTTAAGTTTACTTAAATGTTTTATATCCTCTAAAAAGTTTCTGTTGAAAACCTTTTTCGTGTCAGTCCGAGATTTCTCGATGTGTGTGCTTGAAATATAATGAATACATCATTTGAGTTGATTTACATTAAATTTTATATTTACCAAGAATTGGCGGATTCTGCTGTCTAGTTAAACAAACATATTGTGAAATGTTTGCATTTAGAACAATATGGAATCTCGGTAAAACCTTAACTGGGAAAGATAGAATAATTCCAATTTAGACTATTTCAGGTCTGCGCATTATATAAATCCAATTTAGAAAGCAAGCGTTACTTTTGCATTTGCAATGTTGTTGTGCAACAGTGCGACAGCAAAGAAAGAGATACAAAGAATAATGTTTTTGTTTTCAATTTTGACAAAAGCAGTTTTCATTTCCATTAGTTGATACGACACAATCAAGTTCGATCAAATTTTTGTCATTGTTGAAAGATCAAACATTATCATATTTTATATGTACATTTGTACATGTAATAAATTAACCATTTAAAGGCACAATATGCCCCAGAAGAAAATATACTTTTTTATTTCTTTAGATTGGTAAAGCCTTTAATATGATTTAATGATTTTCTAATTGCGAACTCAATAAATATAAAGTTTCTGATTTTATCAAGTGTATACATATAACACATATATCAGTGTTCAATATAAGCTTACATTTAAACAATGTATTTATAAACGAGTCTATGTCCTGTATTTTAGCTATTTAAGGTGTGATGAAAGCTTATAAAGCTTTATAACCGCTTTATTGGAGTAACCATATGCGGTATTTAGTGTCATATGACGAAACATGGTCAAAGTTTGGGGCTCAAACTCACGATCCCTGGGTTGAGAAGCAGATGCCTTAACCATTAAGTCACTGTTCCCGTAGTTATATAATCAAAGATGATTAAAAATGTTTCAACGGAGACGAGAATAAGATACATATATATAATATAATTTTTAAGAATATCGTGCACTTACTTTTCAGAGTTAACCAACACAATGACAAAAAATCCAAAGAAAAAGGAATTAATCTCCATTGTTTGGTATTCTTCCCTTTTTATAACATTGAAGCAAATTATTATTGTACAACGTAGTATCTATTTTCAAAGTTTAGTATTATAAAATGTTTATCTATTTTATCAAGATACAGTAGATAACTTGTTGACATAACGTGTTGTATCATTACACTTCATCACTTAAACATTTTCAGGTGTTGTTTATCTATATACAATTGAAATCATTAATATATATAACTTAATTAATGTTTGGAAGCATATTCACTGTATGTACCATAGGAACAAGTATATCGTTTGTTCTCAGAATGCCTTTCAATACTGTAGAAGTGATAAAAACTATTCAAAACTATTTTTGAAATACATGCATCAATGCTTTTGTTATAAAATAAATGATGGGTAATTGTAAATAAACTATAACTTTATAACTTTTCTTCATTTCTTATAAACGAATTTAATTTCAAAAGAGCCTCTTTTCAACTGATGATGGAATCGAAATTCTGTTGAGATAACGTATTCGACAGAGCACTATACTTATCCTTTAAACCGGAAGTGCATAACAACAACAACAACAATAGAACTCGAAAATGAATGCTCCTCCAACATTTGAGTCATTTCTTCTCTTTGAAGGAGAGAAAAAGTATGTAATCAATATCAAAATATATTCAAGAACAATTATTTAATTTTGAGCACCATACAAGTCAAACCAAACGTTTGTTGGTTATGTATTTGAAGCAAATTGATTGAAATTTTCATTCGTCCTCAAATACACTCGTAACTCATGTGGGATCAATGATGAGAAATGTTTTAAGAAAGAAGATGAAATACATAATACAGATGTACCCCAAAAGACTTATATATTTTTACTTCTAGAAAATGCTAAATTAAAATGCTTACTGCAAAATTATCTTGCAGAAAGATTTAACATTTAAGTCAGTTTTTTTTCTGTTTATCCTGTAAATAAATCCTAGTTGTACATGAACGTAAAAAAATGATATGTATAATGTGAAAGTATTAGTAAACTGTCATATCAGAAAATTATGTTTTAAAGCCTTTTTAATTAATTTTGTACTAGATTCATATGTTTTCAACATTTATATGGTTGTTAGTCCTATAAATATGACGTCGCTTTGAGATATTTTTACTTCTGGGCAAAGCAACGTCATACCGAAATTGCTCAAAAACCCGTAGCAGGTTCTGCAAGAAAATCTGGCGTAAAGAAAAATATATTAAGACAACGTATATTTACATTAATTTTGACCTATTATTGAACAAAAATGAAAAATAAATACCTTTTAACAAAATAATAAAACGGTCACATCTGAAAAATCGTGATAAAATCCTCTCATTTAATTAAATTCCAAAAAGTGCGCAAAATCTGATTGGGTAGTTCAAATGCAAGCGTTTAAATGAGTCAATTGGTTTCAAACAAAATATTTTTGAACAAAATATTTGCCCATGCACGGCCAGCGAGTTTGAAAATATTTTTCCGTTCAAATATTTCAAATCAATCTTTAAATCGCTTTACTTAACCAGTATTGCCGATAGACAAAACTAGATTTATGTTTATATTTCATTTTCGATTGATAACAACATATGAGAGTTTGAAATTGAAAGAAAATTTGAAAAACTTTTAAAATAAGCTTGTAAGACAAAGCAAAAGACATTTTTTATTTTTTTATTATGCTATGCTTTTTATGAGCAATAACTATTAGAGGTTTGGGCTTGACCCACATAAACTATAATATGCCCATAATGCCTGATATTGGACTTTATGATTGTTTGCAAGCTTTTATTATTTAAATGCATGTAAACTTAACAGAAGAAATATTTTTTGAACAATTTTTTTTTCTATATTACACTGATATAAATAATAAATTTGCATTGAAAATTTGGACACATGACAGAGGATAGGCAACAGTAGAACATTATATAATTTTGTTTGAGATTTTTTTTAAATTTCTGTAATCAATTTTATTTATTCAGTTATAATATATTTGACACATGATAGATCTTTTTGACAGTACTAAGGCCATTTTTTATACAGTTAAATGTCATTTTTGACATTTTTATTTAAAATTTATTTTTACTTACACCTAGTAGGAAATATTGTTACGTAAGTTATATAATATTATGCCTTGGGTTATTAATTAATTGAATAAAAAGTTAAAATACTCACCCTGACTAAATGATTAACTAATTGAATAAAAAGTTACAGTACTCGCCCAAGTGTTGGTGTTGGCATCACACTTAGTTTTTGCATGCAAGTTGGTATTTCCAAAACTAATAGAGGGAATGGGTTGAAACTTCACACACTATTTGAGAGCACAATAGAAGGTCACTATCCAAGGTCCATAACTCTGACATAGATTTTGACAGATTTCCAGTCCTTTTTGAACTTTTACCATCAAACATTGAGAATAGTTGAGCACGCTGTCTTTTTAAGAGCTCTTGTTTTTTTTGCGTTAATATATATATTAAATTGCTATCATAAATTATGCCACCCATGGCCCACGGATGATTGGAAATTTAACTATTCTTTTCAGTGGTTGATAAGAGTTTATTAAATAAAATGATATTATTTAACTGTACAATAAGGAAGTATGGGCAATTATTCTGACATTTAGAAATTAGTATGAAATATTTTACCTTTGTTAATTAAGCACTGATTTAATTGAATTACAGGATCCAGATTGAGAAGGACACTAAAGTACCAAATGCAGCAATATTCACCATAAATAAAGAAGACCATACATTAGGGAACATGATTTGCACGTAAGTTAGTCAAACACAACAAAGCATACATGTACAAAGTAATAACAAATCAAAATTTTAATCTATAAAATTCATTAAACTGAACAAATTTAATAACAATGCATCATTGATTTACTTGTCAAATTTGCAAAGTGTTAAGTTAATCTTTATCTCCAGCAGATATACATATATCTGTTTTGATGTAACAAATAAATTTTTATAACACCTAAATAATTATTAATCTTGTTCGAGAGTTTTATTTATAGTTATTAACTGTATAATAGTCAGACCAAAAGTACATGTGTACAAATTTACAAACATGCATTTGAATTGTATTATGTGAAAGATTATCTTTATTTTAGTCAGCTTCGTAAAGACCCGCAGGTGTTATTCACTGGCTACAAGAACCCACACCCTTTAGAACACAAGGTAGTGTTACGGATACAGACCACTGCAGATTACAGTCCACAGGAAGCTCTCACAAATGCCATCACAGATCTTATCTCAGAGGTGTCTCTAATGGAGGAAAGATTTAGGGTAATGCTATTAGTACATAATTATAGTAGTATTACTGTGCACATTGAAAGCATTAAAAGGCACATTATGCCTCAGGAACGAATAAATGTTTCCTTCTGTAAAAAGGGAAAATATCAGTTTGATAATGTTAAGGTAATGGTTTAAGAGCATGTAAGATGCATATCACCTGAAAAAAGTTAAGTTGAATGTGAATTTATTTGTCATTAAAGTAACAAAATGTAAACACAAAGTAGTATTTTTACTTTCGTACAATACTACAAATTACTAAATCACTATATCTGTACTTATTGTCAAATAGCAACAGAAGAAAAAGTTATAAGATGGCTCAGGTAATAAGCCAATGAGTCACTTTTTGGAAAATATTAAAGTACATAAAAAATATGAAGCCTTTTGAAAAATAAAAGCATTTCTGAGGCACAATGAGCCTTTAATAAAGATCTGAATGAATTTTGTGGTAAAGATGTTGAATAGTGAAGAGCATTCTAAAATAACACACGAGATATAACTTAGTCTCTTGAATGTGAAGTGTTGATATTCTACCCTATTCTGTCATGTTTGTGAAATTTCTTTTGGATCTCTAGTATGTGTGTAGAATGTTCATAAAAATAGAATAGTGTAAGTATGACAAAAAAAAAAATGAGGAACCTACATGTAGCTAGAAGAGTTGTTTACTGCACTTTACTGCAACAAGAGAGAAAAAAGTTTTGTACGGTTTTGGTCGCCAAAGTACTTGTAAAATCTTGGCTTCTTATTTTAATGTTTATATTATAGGCATCACATAATGAAAAATTGACTCTCAGGGCTTGACACTAACTTTTTTTAGGGGTAGTCAGAAGGACTACCTACTTTGAGGATCAGGTAGTCCTTGGCAAATCTAGGTAGTCCTCATTGTAAAACATAAAAAAATGTTTCTTCTTATTCTATTAAAATGCATTTTGAGTGTAATGTATCTGAAGATAAGAAAACAATAGCATAAGAATCTCTTCAACATTTATTGGAAAAAATCACCAATAGATAAATCATATAAGATCTAGTAAAAAGTTTGTAAGCTTTAATTACCTGCATTGAGATGTAGTTTTCCGGCTAGCCTCTGAGCTCTTCCAAAGTCATCATCAACATTTTTTTTTACATTATTATTTTTATAAAATATTGAGCAGTGTGACACACAAAAGTCAAAGTTTTTTGAAAGGCCAGACATTACCTACAGGTACAGGTTCTAGCCAGGAAATTACTAAGGTGTGTTGCAAATAAAATTGCTAGGCAATCAGCTCAGCTTATATTATTGACAGCTTATAGGGAAGGGGAGAATTATATTGGCAATATGAGCTAAATAAGTATGTCAGTTTTAAAAAATTTATTGTAATACCTGGCTTTTGTATTAAAAAATAATTTCAATAGAGCTTAACAAAATCTACTTTCAGGTATAGTAATGTATGACCTTTTCATGTGTTTTTTAAATTCAAAACAGAAGTAAAAGCTTGGACAAGAACAAAAATATGTTTTTTCTTTTACTCTAATCGATTTATTCTACAAACTTATTTGTCAGACATAAAAAAAACAAAATATCAGAATAACAAACTTTTTTTAGTGCTAGTAATTCAGTTTATTTATAACTGTCAGAGATTAAATTTAGGGACATTAGATTAATATCTGTTGTCCCCTGATTTAAACACGAAATTTATAAATGTAAAGCCTATTTTTAATCAAACTATTATTGCGTTAGTTTTTTATGCCTAGGGTATTAGTATTTGTTAACAATTTTACTTCATATATTCATGTACTTGGCATTATTGCTTACATTTGCTTGTACATGATTAAAAGTGCTTAAAACATTGTGAAGTTATGGCAAAGACAATTACAAATATTTAGATATTTCTTTTCTCTTTTTTAAAGAGATTAAACATTTTCTTCTCTTTTTTAATAAAGAGATTTTTTCCCAATCAATATCATGTCGAATAAATTACATCCGAAAAATCAGATCTATTTCAAACAACACGTTTATTTTGGTTATCATTGTCAGTATGATTTACATCAATCAACAAATCATATTCTTTTAAGTTTAAACCCTTGAATAGGTTTCCAATATGAGCAAATATTTTTATTGAAATGTTTAATAGACAAAAGAAAATTCTATTGAAGTAGCTGGAAAAATCGGCAATTAAGTTGGGGACTTCCGGTTTCACTTTTCGCAACTTTATAGAGATTAAATAGAATCTATTATGCGTTGCTGTGACTGACACTAGTGACCAACGGCTAATTTTTACTAGTAAGATGAATTTATCTTTCGTTTTGAATCATAGCCTAAAAAATGTTATTTTATTAATTATTTTTAGTGAATTTAGAGACATCAGGTCACTGAAATTTTGAGTAGCCCGACGGGATTCCCAGCTTGGAAACTCGGGTAGTCCTTGGGGAAAATTGGTAGCCTCGGGCTAACAGACCATCGTTAGTGTCGAGCCCTGACTCTATTTTCCTGAAATCTGTTTATAGCTAATGTTCATGGCCTACTTTATTTTAAAAGGTTAATTAGATTTTTCTAAGATAATATCTAATATGAGAAACTAAAAAAATTTTTTTCTTTTCCCGGGCCAGTATAAATATTTTATTTTAACCCGTTCATTAAAGTGGGGTGGTGGCCTAGTGGTAAAGGGGTCTGCATTTCAACCCAGGGATAATCATGGGTTTGAGCCCTAATGGGGTCACGATATGACACCAGTACTGGTTGATTTTAGGAAGGATTCAAAAGTGATTTATATAAGTTGCAAGAACTTGTTTCACAATTGAGCTTAAATAAATACGTTTAAAACAACCTGTTCATTAAATTCAGTATTGAATTTTCATGTACACTTATTTAATATCTTCTATTTATGACAGTGTAAATGTTGTATATTACAGGAAGCAGTAAGGGAGAGACAGGAAGGAGATATTTGAGGAGAATTTATATACGAGGAAGTTGTTAGTTGTGATACGTATATTCACCTGCTGGGACAGACAAACTGTAAATTGTACAATAAGTGGTGAATGTTCAACCATCAAACATCCGACTGAAATATGAAAAAGTGATGTTTTGATGTTTGTCGTGTTTACTTGTGTTAAATAATAGAGAAATGACTTTTAAAGTTATTGCATACTTTACAGAAAGTATTAGTATATTTCAATATAGTTATTTTTTAAGTCCTTATTTGAACTTCATCTCTGAAAAAGAGAAAAATGATTAAGGACTTGGAATTAACAGCATACTGTTACAGAAATTAGAGTATGAAAGTATGTTGCAATCTTTAAAAAAATTGTTTTGGAAATTGAGGAAGAAATTTTCATCCATATATTTGTTAATGATGCAGACTTGTGGTTTATATTTTCATTTTGATAAATGGCTCATATGATTGTGATTCTAAAAAACTACGAAGTTTTGATATACATGTACAATCATGCAATTTAATGTAATTAGACACAACAGGGCTTTGTTTCTTTCTATAGCAGTGGCCATTTAAAGGGTGACTTCCAAGTTCCCACTAGGACAATTCTTAAAAAAGGGCAGTCTTCCCCTTAAAATTAAATTTACATTGAATTTGCTCTTCACCATTTACAAAAATATGTTATTTTTCTTTAAATTTTAAAAAAAGGACCCTTCAGTTTTCTTTGAAAAAAAAGCTCTGCACGAACACATGATAAATATCTCAAAACATGTCAAATGTATATGACTACATGTATATGCAGTTCAGAGTAGTTTTTATTTAACAATTTCAAAGAAGGAAAATTATAAAACTATGATAGGTGATTTCTATAGATAAGTGGTGGGTGTGAGGCAGATAAGTGGTGTGTAAAGTGTAAGACAGATAAGTGGTGTGTAAAGTGTAAGACAGATAAGTGGTGTGTAAAGTGTAAGACAGATAAGTGGTGTGTGAAGTGTAAGACAGATAAGTGGTGTGTAAGGCTGCATCATCATCATCATCTGTCAGTCACAGACTTTTCAGTGCATGTGTAGCTTAAACCGCTCAAATTGTGTACTTTACTACATGTATTTAGAGAACTTTTTAAACTGATAAGAAATTACATAAATGTACCTGGAGGTCAGCTGCTATAAGAGTTTATGTGTCTGCAAGAATTTATAACAATGTTGTTCTAGTGCTTGAATTGTCCAATGCTGAAAAAAATACCTTCAAAATAATTTTTAAAGCTTTATTAGTAAGTTGGTTGGTAATTATAACTTATGTCTTTTGTACAGTAAATATATCATTAACTTTCTCACTTATCATACACATAATTATGCTGTTCATGTATAGATATTGTAAATGTATGAAAACTGAATGTCTGCGATTTCCTGTTTTTTACAGACCATGTAAAACAATTTTAAATAATAAAACAATAAACATTACACATGTTTCATTATTGTGTCACCTTGTCCTTGTCGGCAGCAGGGGCGACATCCCCTAAGGCTTGTCCGGAGCATAACTCAGTCACTTTAAGTCGGATTGATTCTAAACTTGGTATACATGCTTCTTTTAATGACCCAAAGTGCAGTGCACAAGAATTGTTTCTCTGCACTTCTTATTTTTTGAGTTATTGGGCTTTGTTAATTTTCATATTTCATTCCTGTCCAGGCCATTTCTCCTAAACTATAAATGCTATGGTCATAAAACTTTATAGGATGATAGATCTTTTTGAGAAGAAGTGCAGCGCACAAACACCGGCACTCGGTACTTCATGGTTTTAGAGTTGTTGCCCTTTGTTGCTTATAATACTTTATTTTAGTCCCAGCCGTTTCACCTAAACTATAAAAGCTATAGACTTGAAACTTCAAAGGATGATAGATCTTTTTGAGAAGAAAAGCAGTACACAAGAACCGGTACTCTGTACTTCATGATTTTAGAGTTATTGCCCTTTGTTAATTATTATACTTTATTTTTGTCCGGGCCAATTCTCCTACATAATAAAAGGTATTCAAGCTACATCAATGTTGATGTAACATTGTTACAATCAGTTCAAATGCCACTTAAGTTCAAGGTACATGTACATTATAAGAGTGGTGTTTAGAAACAAGAAAAATATTACATACATTCGTATGTAATATAGGTACGATTGCATACTACTTTTTGTGAAGACTTTGTGTAATGTAAAATGAACAAACATGTCATGAGATATTTTATATCTTTAAACATTTTCATGGAATGTAATTAATGTATCACCATATTAAAGTTGCATGCCTTCAGATGAGAAAAATGATTTCAAGGAAATCAAAATTCACGGTCAATTGACTGCTTTGAAGCATAATCACAAAATAAAATTACAGGAAATTAAAAACCTTTTAAATACACTTAAGGTAGAATTACATTGTAAATCATAGTCAAAGATTTGAGATATGATTATTTATTCATATTAACATCATTATTGGTTATATATTGATAAAAAAAACCCGAAAGACACAGTTTGTAAATATTTATTACAATAAATTATGAAAAGGTATACGCGGCGAGGTTAGCTATAATTAAAATTCCCGCGCTAAGTCGCGGTGGTGCTTGGGATAATCACTTGATACTGTAAATGGCAGCCATTTTACGATACGAGTCCTCCGACAGTTTATCCTGCCGAAAAGATATGAAAAAATACTTGCAATTAAAAGTTTGCTGGCTACATAAAGATTATCGATTTACTTTTTGCGCACTTTTTCTCTGCCTGAGTATAATAATATTGACGCGTTTTCATTGGCTTAAACCATCACGTTACCAATACACATGTAGGTGTGAACTAATTTCGTGTTCATTAAAATTATTCCGTTAATAGACATATAACAATCTTATTTACAAATATCATTGGGAAAAATAAATGCATATAAATTGTAAATTTGTGTATGACAACTCAACCCCCTAAACAAAACATAATAGACTCAACCAAAACAAGCGCCTGCTTCTTCACCTAACTATGTAGCTGCATGACCATGATTAGCAATTTAGCAAACCAAATCTAAGAGATAAACCTATTGTAAAAATAATACTATGACCACAGCAGGTTTCGTACAGAAAACCTATATTTGAGAATAATATGCCTAAGTGACAGCTACATGTATATTGTTCACAAGGCGACACATCCGACTCGCGGACTTCCATCAACTTTTGGAGAATATTATCTAGGCTCTTAATTTACTATCAAGCACTGATAATACAATGTAGTCTAGCATGCTGTCCTATTGACAGCTCTTATTTTTCAGTCTCACCTTTGCCCTGTGTCTGTTGTGTATTGTACAATTCGATGTTTCTGACACCAAGGAAGTTTCTGTCATATAGCTCTTTGAAAAACATTTTTCCAAATTTATGTGCAATGGTAACCATTTGCAAAATCATTTACAATTTTTCAATATTCCAAATTTCATCATTTTATGTTTAAATGTGGAATTTTGCTTAAGCCGGTGCTGGAAAGCGTGGACGGTAACTTGCACTTTCCAGACTCTATCAAACCGAGTCTACAACATTTTCAAATTGCGATTTGTGTGTTCTATTTAAATGAATTGTTGTCCAAGTAATGGCCCTACTCGGGGGGATAACAAGGTATTTATTTAGCTTAGCAACGCACAAAAAGCTCAATAGTGAGCTTTTATGATTTCATTTTTGTCATAATTCAGCCACTCTTTTAAAATAAACATCTCCAAAATCACATGTACGAGTAGCAATTTCGTTTTCAGTCCCCAGCACTTTGTAAGCATTCGTAGATTGATTTTAACAATGATAAGTACTGTAGTGATTATGCACAATGCGGATGATCACGTGACACGTGTTTTTTTTTTAAAAACATGTACAACTTCGTTATGCAACTTTACAAAGGATGGATCGAAATTGTTCATGACAGGCAAACTTACAATTGTGTACAAGATGTCATTGCCTATTTTGCTCAAAATGCGTTTCTTTTACTGAAAACAACGCATTTTTGTGCATGTTCCCCCATTGTAAACAACTTATTCAACTTTCAGGCATAAACAGTGATAGCTACAAAGTAACCAATAACAGAACAGTACATGGTTTTTACAGGGGTTCCATGCGACCTAGTTTTTCATTTCAATTTAACGTTAAATGTATGCTTACCTCAATTTTACTACTTTTACCGAGCGTTCAGACCGCCATTTTATGAGCTCATTGTACGATTTTGGTCACGTGATCATCCAAATCGTACCACTGAAGTCAAGACGTGCAAGTAACTTTTTCAGTCATATTTTTACCAAGTACAACCAAAAGATTTAACTCAATGATTGTTCTTATGGGTTTTCTAATATGATTATAGTGTAATCTTTAAAAATCAACTACGTTGAAACTATTAAGGCAAGAGTTTAGACAACTGGCACGAGATATTATGTAGTAAACCTCTACATAATAGCCCATGAGTCAAAATTTGCCCACCCAAGGTGCTCGTGGGTTTTCCTAAGATCTATATAGTTAATTAAAAATCGTATCTTAAGACATTAAGCCGAGAGCTTACATACAATGTATTTGGCATGAAACATTGTTGTAAGAACCATGAACCAGTCTTTTCAATTATAGCCCTGGGGGTCAAAATTATCCCTGCCCCGCGTATCTTGGGTTTACCTTATTAAAAATCATATCATTAATTATAAAGGTTAGAGCTAAGATTTTGGCACGAAAGATAGGAATGTCAAGGTAATTAAATCTTACTGTCCAGTAATATCAATGGAATGACAACAAGGCAGACTAGTAAAATATGTATTGTTTGAGATCACCTATAAAATATTTAAAATTATAATGGAACAAAATAATTGGAACTAGGTTGGCTCGAATAATATACAGTTTGCACTACTCAGACAATCTGCCTTTCTAAAAATCTGTAGTAAAAATACACTTTAATGAATTCCATCAAGCCAATGAGCAATGATTTTCTTCTTGTGGTGATAACGACGTTAACGTTTTCCTGATATAGCTAAAATACCACGACCACCCCAAATAATGTATGAACAAATGGGCAGGTTAATAATTTTCCACAGGAATTTTGATCATTAAAATTGTATTTAATTATTTTATGTACAATATACAATATGAGTAGCATATCAAAATCTATTTGTTTGGTGTTGTCTATTTTCATGAACCTTTTTTGATATCCTGAAACGATAAAGAGACAAATGCATTTATATAGTAATTTTCTGAAATGAAAGTTTTGTAAAGATAACATATTATCTTATTGCTTTAATACACTTCTCAGTGAGTGAATCTGTGTGCGACATAGTCTTTTGTTTTCTTTCTTTATTTATTTTGGTTTACATATCTCATGTCAAAACATATCCTGAAAATATCCACATAACTAAATGACAACACAAGATTCTTAGTTTAAATCGAAGTCAAAGAATGAAATACATTTGAGCCGCGTCACGACAAAACCAACATAATGGGTTTGCGACCAGCATGGATCCAGACCAGCCTGCGCATCCGCGCAGTCTGATCAGGATCCATGCTGTTCGCTTACAAACCCTATTACAAATAGAGAAACTGATAGCGAGCAGCATGGATCCTGATCAGACTGCGCGGAGGCGCAGGCTGGTCTGGATAAATGCTGGTCGCAAACCCATTATGTTGGTTTTGTCGTGACGCGGCTCATTTATCGTTATTGTTTCAATATACATGTATATTTATATACATGTACAAAATGTGTTCACATTCACTACAAGCCCACACCGTATATATGGAGGATACAATACCTTTGAATTTAATTTTTGCGATTGATCGAAAATAAATATACCTTCAGTTCGGCGATTATTTCTGGATTAATTGTCATCCCAAGTTGATTAAAGGCTGATATTCTGAGTGTCAGCATTACAACCACGTCTTGCCATGTTGAGCCACAATCTAAAATTCCGTCACCATTGTAGTCCGGAAACGACGGTGCATTATCTAGCATACATCTAAACCAGTGTGAAATATCGCTGTGAAAATAATAATAATAAAAAAAACACAAGAAACTATAGCATTTCGGGTTCTGTAGTGAATAAAGACGAGTTGTATTATGTAAGATAGGTACGAGGAATATTTAGATATGAATATATCTAGAACGCCATACATTGCTCAATAAAATCACGACACAATAAGGATTACCGAGTAGACATTTACATTGATACAACATCCATTAAAATACTTTTAGTTTAGCTGTGCCTATCTATATTACTCGTGTAAAGTGATATAGAGGTCAAAGTACACTCTATATTAAGAATAATTGTAATGCGTGAAAATGCTTTAACAGTGTCTTAAATACACTATAATGTTTTTCGCAAGTGTGATACATTTGGTTCACTTTTTGGTCTAATGAAAGATTAGGAACGAAATATAGGCAGCAAAGCTGATAAAAGATTATTTTCGCAAAGCGGATCCTAAGTATTAATTAAGAAGATAATATATGGTAAATTATTCTTTATTGCTAAAGGTGCCTTTCAGGCTACTGGAGGTCCTACAAAATAGTAGAAACACATAGACCAAAGTTTAGCCATTGTTAGATTGCTGTATTAAAAACACTGAAAAGGCGACTTTCAGGATATTGTTGTGCTCCCTCACACTCCGTATTCACCTGACATTGCAATGGGTGAATTTTTGTTTCGAAGGCTAAGTCGGAAATTTGTTTGACGTAAAATCTCGGTTTTGCAATATTCCAGTAGATATATAGAGGATATCTGTTTGTTTTGCATGTAAAATCGAAATATAATTTCACTGAGTGAACACCAGATGCAATATTTTCACGAGTGGCGTAGCCACGAGTGAAAATATAATAGCTCGTGTTCACGAATGAAATATATTTCAATCTTATATGTAAAACAAATAAATTTTCTTTTTATTTCATGCGTTTTAAGTGATTTCAAGTAATTTTTACTGATTTTGCCGCGTAACGTCGCGCATTCTCCTTTGTGACGTCATTATATCATGACGTCACATCATCAATTTTGAAATATAGTTCTGTTTAATTTCTCTAATTTTGTTACATTTTCAACATGATGTATAGTGACATCGACTTTCTTTTCCTAAAGAAGCAAAATTTACGCATGACGGCATTTATTTCTGCCTGTTATTCCATTTAGTTATTATTTTCTTTTCATCCGCATTCAGATATAGTCCGGCTACAGTGAAAATTATATTTTATAAATTTCACTAGTGGTTTATCAGAATATAATCATCTGATATATTACAATAAAACACTGGAAAGCATGAAATAAATAATTATATATATATACATTGTATTCTTGAAAAAAAATATATGAAAAATAAAACTCTGTTCTTCATAAGAAACTGAAATTAGATGACTTGATAATAAATAGCTCTAACAGTACTGTACTAATATATGTTTTTTTGCGACCAAAAGTCAATAGAAAAACGAATACTGAAATAAAAACGTTAGTAACAGTATCAGACTAACTTATTAGGAAATTATGGTGGTTAATTTGGTACATTTGGTACTTGCGTTGCGTTGTCGATAGCGACAACAAAACCTATATCGTTATCGCCTTTTCGTCTTGTCGCTAGCGACAACACGACAAAGAGTCCTGTCTATAACAAAGCACGCCAAATGGCGCGTTGTCGTGCGGTGCTTTGTGGCGATAACGCCCTGTCGCTTGGCTTATAAACCAATCCTTCGATTTGAACCGAGCGGCAATGTGACATCGCGACAACACGCCACACGACAACGCGCCGTTTGGCGTACATCGTTAGCGACAGGACGACAAGACGAAAGTCCGAAAACGTGCCGTTTGGCGCTTTGTCCTGTTGTCGCTAGCGCCAATACCTCGCACAAAAGCGATCCAAATCAGCCACCATAGGAATTGCATATCATAGATATGAATACATGCTGCCAACAAATGAATATACAAAACCTTTGTAGCGTAGACACCGCATAGCTAACTATGAGATCCGAAAAATGGTTTAAAAAATCCGCCTCGTCTACACATTGTTGCACTATTTCTAGTACACGGTTTTCACCGGCTCCATAGTCAATACACTGCTTGTTGTAACGATATGTACTCTGTAACACTGATAATTAATTTATAATAAAATGTAAGAAATTTGATTTCCTTCATAAAATCATTTAATATCGATATTTTACAAAATATATAACAACTATCTTAATTGAAACATTTCTATGATTGTTTTAAGAAGGAAATCATTTTATGATTTCGGCAGGTAAACGCATCTTTTACCAACGCTTGTTACCCATTAAGACTTTTATACCTATAAATTAGAGTAACAAGTTTTTCGTTTTATTTTGACTTGATTTAAGTAGATTTTATTTTCATTTATTTATTTTATTTATTAATTTATTTACAGCCATCATGAAGTTTTACCTGTGGCAAGCCATTCTGATGGCTCTCCGTTCTCACAAAACACCACCACATCTTGTTTGATGTATTCTGTTACCACATACGTCAATTGTGGACAATTTTCTACACTTCTTTGTCCACAAAATGAATACTTCTTCATGTAACTTTCATCACTAAAAATAGCGAAGTCTCAAATCAAACAAGTAAAAAAAATGTAACAAAACGGTACAGTCTGAATAAATGTATGCACATAACGTTATTTAATGGATGCTAACTTCCTATATGATATGTATAAAACTTTGCATCATTACTTAATCGCACACCAAACATTTAATAGTTTAATTCACACAATTCTAGCCCAATGTTTATTTGGTGAATAACTTTGGACATAACGAGAACGCTTTAATATATAAGAATTTCTATTACTCCTCTAAACTGCAGTTTAAAGTTAACATTTAAAGCTCTCACCCACATGTTGATGTTAATGTTGACAACAAATCGTCCTCGGTCACCACTGTGTCACTGTGAAAGAATCCTTCGATGATCTCGTTGAAGCTGTTTACAGCTGTTTCATTCCAAATACAGTCCGAAAATTTCGTGCTTATGTGTTCATAAGAACAACCGGCTGATATTGAGGTGCTAGTAATTGATTTTGTAAATAAAATCACCAGAAAAGCAGTCTTCACTATATTAGGTAAAAAAATGAACATATTAAAACAGCACGCCTCCAGATTCATGCTAATTTTCATAAATAAAAATTGAAAATGTATTAAAAAGTAAAGTATTGCGAAATGAGCAAAGTAAAAAAAAAATCAAATTGCAATCGGCACTTACGGACGATAAAAATTACCAAAAGACGTCAAAATATCACTCTGAGTATGACTGCGTTAGTAACGCAGTAGAAAAATAGTGAAAAATACTGCAAAATTGGTCATGAATGGCACATAACACGAACATTATTACATTTATCTTGAATCTTTTTACTTTTCTTAAAATCTCAGTAATTTTTGTCAAGTATGATTTTCTTTAAATATTTTGGCTCATGTGGACGCATGCAGCTTTAAGTTAAATTCAAAATTTTGTACATAAGAATATATTATAATGTTCTTATAAGAAGAGTACACTTTCATTTTCAAGTTTTAAATATATTTTATTGCTGTAATTCTGAAAAGAAAATCAAAGCGTTATTGTAATTATTTTGCTTTGTTTGAACGTATTGATCTTATTTTGCCATATAATTAGTGATTTTTGCATTATAACATTTTTATTAATTTTATAAATTTTTCATAGAATTTGAAGTTTTTGCAGTTCAACATTTTAAAACAAAATCATTAAAAAATAAAACATAAATATCTCTCTTACCGTAATAGTTTGCCATCTCTCATGGATATATACTGCTTACTATTACATGTATATCAAGCGATGTGCCGAGAGAGATTTTTTTTTTTCAACATAATTTCTGAGAAATAAAGGTTATGTCATTTAAAGTAATATCATAGTTTAAAGTTAACTACATAATGATTTTAATATATCAAGATTTGTTCTCTGCAATGTGAAAAAATAGCGTTCATAACGGGATGGGTAATAATAACACGACATTCAGGAGCGGAAAAGGCAATTTTTATCATTATATATATATGTACATGCATACTATATATAATTTCTTGCAGAAAAGGCATTTTTCTATCATTATATACATGTATAATATATATAATATAAGGGAAATGTTAATGTGAAATTTACTGAAATTTACTTGTATTAATTTTATTTTGATTGACGATGTTTCAAACGTTTAAGAGATTTATAAATCATGCACGGGATAAACATTGCATGATTAATGTGGGTGTATATGATGTAATGAACGTTAAGCAGTTGTTGTCTGTACAAAACAATTGAGTACAGAATTTAAATCATGGTTTAAACATATACATTTAAGCTCGATTGCGAAACAAATTCTTGTAACCTATTTTCATCATTTTTACGTTTGAACATCTTTAATTACTCTTATTCTGAATCACCAGCTTGTGTCATAAGAAAAAACATGGTCGTGACCCGATTTTAGAGCTTGAATACATGATCCCGGGAACGAGACGCAGACACTTTAACCACTAGGCCACCGGTCCCCATATAACTAGTTAATATATAAAATGCAACACTTATAACACTTCATATTCCGTCCTATTCTTGGTAATTTTCGTAGATCATGAGATGATGAGAGCGGTTTGCAACGTGTAAAACACTTTCTTTGTTTACTTGACAGTATCTGCTTCCTAAAAGATAATTTTAAAAACTTTCATAAAGCAAATGTTTAAATGTTGAAATGTTTAGCCAGTACTAAGGGTGTTATCGGTAAGTTGCACTTTCCATTACCGTCCATTAACAGACGCAATCAAACCGAGCCTGCATCATTCTTTAATTTTGTCATTTGCGTTCTTTTAAGGATTCCGTTTTTCTATATATAATTTGTCTGCGTATAATGATAAAACTCGTTAAAAATCCTTTAAGTACTCGCATTGATATAAATACAATTCGATCGATTTAAAAAAAAAAATTAACAAGAGCTGCCACCCAAGTGACGAATGCCCCCGAAAAGGTTTCTTAAGCATGCAGGTATTATGAAAAGAAAAGTGAATGAAAGTCACTAATTGCCTTATATTGTTCTTTGTATTATTGTATCTGTAATCTCTAATTGCGATAGCACAAACCTTCAAAATATAAGTGTGACATTGACATTTGAAGAAGGGACGAGGTTCCTGGACGCGACAAAATGTTGTTATGAGATAGACATTTGTGCCAAATTATTTCAAATGCATGTCTCAATGCATGACAAAGTTACAGTCTGGACATGATTGTTGTGTAAGTGGGGACACACGAACAGACGGACATGAGCCGTAGCCGCGACACATTACCTTGATGTGGTAGATATTTGTGCCAAGTGTTTTTAAAATCCTTTCATGCATGACAGTTACTGTCCGGACATGGATGTGTATCTTCAAACTCTTCTCGAGAGAATGAGTACCTTCAAACTATAAGTTCGACCTTGAACTTAAAGGAAAGGAAATAGGTCTTTGTCGCGACATGTCGTCTTGATGTGGTAGACATTTATGCCTAGTTATTTTAAAATCCTTCGATGCATGACAAAGTTACAGCCCGGACACGAATGTGTGTACCTATAAACTCTAATTGTGATAAAGTGAACTTCAAAATGGTAGTGTGACCTTGACCTTTGAGGTAGGGACGTGATTATTGGACGCGACACATCGTCTTGATGTTGTAGACATTTATGCCAAGTTATTTTAAAATCCTTCTATGCATATGACAAAGTAACAGCCCGGACACGATTGTGTGTACCTATTAATTCTAATTGTGATAATGTGAAACTCCAAAATGTTAGTGTGACCTTGACCTTTGAGGTAGGAACATAATTCTGGAACGCGACACATCGTCTTGATGTGGTAGACATTTATGCCTAGTTATTTTAAAATCATTCGATGCATTGACAAAGTTACAGTACGGACACGAATGCGTCTACCTATTTAAATACTCTTATTGCTATAATGTGAAACTTCAAAATGATAGTGTTACCTTGACCTTTGAGGTAGGGACGTGGTTCTTGGACGCGACACATTGTCTTGATGTGGTAGACATTTGTTCCAACATATCGTAGTAAGCCCTTGAACTTGTCTGGCCTGTGTGTGGTCTACAATGCACTACAGGGCTTGGTGATTGAGGCTAACACCTCATCAACAAATACTTCGCTGAGAAATGGGATGATCCTTCGTACTATCCTACCAAATTCTCCAATGCCCATAACATCACACTCCATCAACACCCTCTTTAGATTTTCACAAACCCCCCTTTACCCCCGACATGTCAAAGCAACCATCGACACAACACCTTATTTTTTTTAAAGATTTTCAAGGTCGGTTTTAGACGGATAGCTATCAGGGTCGTAAACCAGAGCTACGGCCCATACGCATTCACGGTTTTCAAGGGTTCAACCTCTTCCAGTGCCTCTGAAAACTCATCGGCCTGATCCTAGCCAAAAAGCACTAGCGATCCAAATGAAAGTGAGAGTCGAATGCCCCCGCTTTTGGTTGTGTGGGATTCTTCACTTTTTTCTCTTCTTTAGCTGCAGTTTGCTCTTTCTGCCATCGCATATAATAATTATGTTAGAAAAAGTCGTCTTTTCACATTTAACCTACTGCTTATACCTGATCCACCTAATAATATGATTCACTCTTCAATAAGTTGTCAGATGAAAAGGAGGGGATTTCTATAAAACATATTCGCATATGAATTTTATTCTTCTTATTCAATGTTTGATCCAAATAGTATAGATGTAGAGGTAATCATTTTGTTTATTTAAAACTATTTTATATAAAACTAACTAAAATTATATTCTGCGAGAAGCTCCTGCTTTGAAATACATTGTTTAGTCAACAGTAATAGTACGGAATGCCGTTAGGGCCATCGCCTATGAATATGTTGATCTGAAACGCGATAGTCGAAAGTACAATGGTGAAAACGCGAAATCACGAAACTACGATGGTGAAAACGCGAAAGTACGATGATGAAAACGCGATAGTACGATGATGAAAACGCGACAGTACGATACTACGATGATGAAAACGCGATAAACTATCGTGTTTTCACCATCGTACTATCGTGTTTTCACCATCGTAGTTTCGTGATTTCGCGTTTTCATCATCGTACTGTCGAGTATCGCGTTTCAGATCAAACCATTGCGAAATCACGAAACTACGATGGTGAAAACGCGACAGCACGATGGTGAAAACACGATAGTTTATCGCGTTTTCATCATCGTAGTATCGTTCTGTCGCGTTTTCATCATCGTACTTTCGCGTTTTCACCATCGTAGTTTCGTGATTTCGCGTTTTCACCATCGTACTATCGACTATCGCGTTTCAGATCAACACATTCATAGGCAATGGCCCTAACGGCATTCCGTATAATAGCGCCACTTTACCATCATGTATCATTTCATTCTGGTCTTCAGAATCAGTAAGGGAATCATAATCGAGATGTAAATTCCAGTCGGAAATTGAGACCGATGTGTAATACATGGATTGCAAATGACAGCAAAAAACACCAAAAATAAACTGCGTCTGCAATTGGAACAAAATTGTTGGCTCCTTTAAGATCAAAGTTCATCAAAGGAAAGGACTATACAGAGAACTTGTAAAATAAACACCGTTATAAAACAGTTTCTTCCTTATGCAGAAATGTGAATTTACATCTTATCTGTGTTCTCATACATTATTTTCAAAGTAGGTAGGCATGAATTATTCTTAAGCCGTAGCTAGAGGGCATTGACAGTAACATTCCAGTACAATCCATGAACAGGCTCAATGAAACCGAGCCTGCAATATTTTCAATTTTGTCTTTTTGGTCGTTCTTGATGGATTTCATTTTGTTACGGTTTATCTTCAACATCTCACTTGTTCACCATCGTCGGATACCCACGGCCGAACCATTATCATTCATCAATCGTGGGTATCCGACGATGCTTGTTCACTAGCACTAACAAAAGTTAAATCTAGGTCAAACCGAACTATTCTACAGACTAGCCTGGCTCTATGTTTTCCCGACCGTCAGTTTTACCGGTATTATAAAAATATGCAGTAATTTTAAAATATTTAATTAAAAGTTACCTCAGATATATTTAAGAAATTTCGGAAGCACATTCATGTTTTGATGCATGTGTACGTGAAATGGTTTGAGTTATGATGAAACGTTTTGATCATTGCAAAGGCTACTTGTTTACTATTAATTCAACAAAACCCATGCTGTCACAATGTATGTATAATAAACTGTATAGTTTCTGGCATGACATGCAGTGATGAATCAGTTAAAATAAGAATGAATATAAAGGGCAATCGTTTTATTATCATTAAGGTGCTGAAAACATTTAAAGAGAAAAAAAAAATTCTGTTATAAAATTGGTTTATGTTTTTTAATTTAATTGACAAAACCTTGGTTTCAACAAATACAATGTTTTCTATCAACCGTAGATTGTTTTATCATTCGTTGGATTTCACACATTGTTGTTTTGTCCGTTTTAGCATCTCATCATCTATGTAAAATAGTAAATGACAAATCAGATATTTAGTGGAAAATTAAGTATTTTTTCATGCATTTTAAATAAGATTTTAATAAACTATAAAGTAACGTATTGGGATAATATTTTCGTGCAATATTGAAAGCTAATCTATGTCAATTAACATGTTCATCGTATAAGTGATCGTATAATTAAAATGATGTATGTCTATCAAAATACATTGACCGTATATCTGTATGTTTATAAGGATAATACCAAGGACGTATGAGCAATGGTTCTTAGTATTATAATTACCTGTAACTGTGTGATCTCCTCGCTACCAATATAAAACAGTTTGTAGAATTTGACAGAGGTCATAAGCCAGTTTGTTAACAAGATATCCTGCCACGATGAGCCACAACCACCATTGCCGTTCTTCAGAATACCATCAAGGCTGCAGCTGAACATGTCTTGGCGGAGACTATAAAACAGTATGTTATTTCATATTATATTGTTCGATCTGTATTTCAAATGGACACAAATACTTGGAGGATCTAAATTTATAACGGAAACTAGATTTGAAACTTTTTTTTATTTGTTTTTTATTTGCATTTTGTTTTGAAATTATATTCAATAATTTTCTCAGTGAAATTATACTTTAGGATTTTCACTAATACCGGACTATATATGAATAGGATGAAAAAATATTTCATAGCTAAATGGAATTATCAACAGGGATAAATTCTGTGGAATGTAAATTTTGCTTTTTTAGGAAAAGCAAAAAGATTATATAGAAAATGTGTTTGTTTAGCATGTTAGTTTGAAATAAATTTCACTTGTGAACATCAGTTATAATATTTTTGTAAAATATTGCATCTGGTGTCCACTTAGTGAAATCTATTTTTGATCTTTGCAAAACAAACAAATATCCCATATTTAGTGTCAGTACTTGAGTATAAAGGTCATTTCTCCGCTGAATAATAAAAATGTAGAATTGGTAGTTGAAATTGGAGAGAAATTGATATAGTAAGTTATCAAGGTAAGCCAGTTACGTGGATGGATCGCCAAGATATGAAACAAAAAATACACGCAATAAAATCGGCGTTAAAACACACTATAGTCTTGCATAAAACTGCGCAGAAATACATTTACAAAACATTTAAAAAACAGGCATTAACGGATAGATAAACGTCACCACACTTCGTAGTTGTGAATTATTTTTAAATGCACGTCTCAGATTGCAATAGCTTACTGCAATGACAGCCCCTGTTTCATTATCAAAACATATCTGTTATTTGACATTGCACTTGCACGTAGAAAACATGACATTTTGTACACGAAAAACAGATAAATAAAAGAGGAATTCCCGAATCAGACGTATACTTTCATGCAAGAATAGCTTTAATTCACCTTTTTTGTGCATTAATATGTGCAGAGGCTTATTTATTACGTAGAAACGAGATTATTTAGTTCGTGGATACGAGTTTTAAAGCAATGTCATGCGTCAGTAGATGTTAATGCGTGAAAAGAGGAGCACGAACCCTTTAATTCAAATTAAGAAAATGAAATTAGTGTTCAATATATTTCTTTGTCATGGTTTACTCGACTTAAGTTTAAACATACAAAAACTATTCGGTTTGGCATTGTTGTTTTGTGAATATATATATACTTCTTTAATTTGTCTATAAACTTGTCTATATGATATAATTGAACACACCACGATGGAATTCAAATATGTATAAAACACATACTTCCTGTGCATATCAACAACACCTGACAGAGATGTTTCATTGCTGCTTCTTTCAGGTGATTTTTGAGGCATGCAGGAGAAAAATCCCTCCAAAAATGTGTTAGAACACGTGACATTATAGGAAAATCCATTCTGTAATACTAGAGATCACAAATTGTTAATAGTACAATACATTTACAACACATTGCAAACAGAACTACTCAATAAACTATACAATACATTGTATAAACTGGAAAATGTAAATCATATTCAAATGATTTATTATAATTATAAACTTTCACAATTTGCTCAATTTTAACTGAGAAAATATAACAAAATAAACATTTACGATTTAAAGATTTGAAAAAAAAAATGTGAAAACACATTTATCAGTGTATTCGAAAGATTACTTTTTATAGCTATTTATTGTTTGCAAATTTGATATCCGATTTATTTAGTGATAAAAGTGAATAACACATAGTATGTTTCAAGTGTTTGCAATGTATATCAAGAATACACTCACTTGTTGCTAGCCAACTTGCAGGCTGGTCACCGTCACAGAATATTGACCATCGTTCAGCCAGGATTTCTCTTAATTTGTCTTGTTCCTCAGGACATATGTGTTTGGCTGTACAATTGGCACATTTGGAGTATTCAGCGTAATTGCTATAGAAGTAGAGAAAAATTATTCCATATATTATAATCATCTATATATTCATGCACATGTTTTATTTTATAAAATTCGGTATAATGCAACATTATACTATTAAGCAGAACTTTATTTAGATTAAATTTGTGCATGATATGATTAAAAGCATGCAAAGACTATGCAAATATACATATTTTGATGTTAAAAGTGTTACAAAAGAAAACATGGTATTATACAATTTGTGAAATAAAGATTCATGGCATTTTATAATCGGTAAAAAGTAATATAACATTGAATGTTTTACGGCAAGAATGACAAGGTGCAACGACAGAATAAAAGTTAAAAATTAAAGAGTCTGTTCTATTCGGCGTTGTTTTGTTTTCATGAGCGATAATTGAATGTACATGTATAGCATACGCCCAATGGCACCGGCTTTATCAGTTATAAATGTACACAATTAGTCTTTGAATCATTCATTGATCCCTTCAGCAAAACATAAACAACACCGAGATGTAGTACCGAAAAACTGTTTACAGCTTTCATACAGCATTTGGCACGGTGGAGATCTCTCTACAGAGGTAATAACATAGTAAATAGACAACTGAATAAATGGGTTTAAATTAAAAAGTTATAAAATAATAAAAAACGACTTATAAACAAACCGAGTCTTACCGAATCTGAACCTTTACAATTTTGTCGTTTTAGGGCGTTCTTTAGAGACTTCGTTTTGACTTTAACATGTTTAGCATTTAACAGTTTGCTGAGAAGGTGTTTAGTTAACGTGGACACTTTTGTATGTATAAGCCAGAAACCAATCAAAACAGTTGAATATCTGATCTGGTTTAAGAGAAAGAAGTTGAATTAAGATGACACAAACTAGAGAGAAATAAAGAATTTTGAAATGAAGCCAAAAACGACAAAATTGAAAATGCAGGTTCAATTAATTTGAGCCTGTTTATGGACGGTCTAAGATTTTCACGTCATAAAATTTATGGCATTTTTATTCGTATAATGTATCTAGAGATCAGTTTTACTATAACAGTTAAGATTACAAAACAGTCAACAACGACATCAATCCTTAGAGGTCAACCAACAAAGCACAACAGAAAATGATGCAGGTTCGATGTGATTGGTCCTTGTTATAAAAGGAAGTGATACATGTGCAAGCTACTGTCAATGCCACCCTATCACCGTCTAAACTAACATTTATAAATAAAATATGAATGTTGTTTTCAATTTCAAATCTAAAAGGAAAATCTAAAAGTAAAAATATACCCTTAACAAAAATCGGCAGAATTGGATGAAATGGAATTTTGAGAAGAAGCTAATGCCTTCATCTGTGTATTACAGACGATTATGTTCTAATAGCGTTTTGTGACGCTTGGAGTATTGTGTTGTTTTCAACATGCTTTATTTTAAAGACTACAATATCAAAAGAACAACTTTCCTTATAAGTTTAATCTGAAATCAGCTTACATAATGCTTATGGCATTATTTAAATTTAAATTGCTGATATGATCAATTTTATGTGATTAATTACCTGCATGTTGATGTCAGCCTCTCCAGAAACACGCCCGACTTGATCTCACCACCAGTTTCTAGATCAGTAAATATATCACCCAGATACTGTTTTCTCTTACATGACTCCTCATATCTTTTAAGAATCTTTTTGTAATTGCAACTGCTTCCATATACAGTGAATTGTCCGAGTAGAGCCGCAAACACTGTAGAAATAAAAATCGAATCATGAGATAACACATATGGTCTTATTCGAGGCAGTATTTGTGCATGAAAGATTGTTAAATATAAGTTTAATTATCTAAGGCGAAAATGTAAGTTAAAACACAAACTTTTATTTGACAATCTTACATAATTTATTACATGTATATTGTTTCTGCCCCGAAACACTAGACTTGTAACACAGTTATTCAAAATGTCTTATTTTATGGGTGTTTTTCATGATGCGTTCGACAGAAACTTTACATTCGACAACCTAATAACATACTTTGTCATTTCTTCGGCGTGGGTAGTAATAAACTTAAAACTGTTTAATGGGTGTAATTTGTACAAATTAAAAGAATACAATGACGATAAGACTTATAATCCATTCATTCTATTCAAATATAATTTACCCCGCCAACTAGCCTGGGTATCAGGCGTTGATATGTTTTGCTTATTCATAACATACGCACTATTTCAATATTCGATCTTGTTTTGATAATTGCCGAACAGACATGACAGAAGCACATAAAAAACCGACAGACTGGAACCCAGAGTACCCACCAACCAAGACGCATGACATAAAACTTAAATGTTTAATGACTTTAATGTAATGATAAACCTTTTTTTTTAACAATATCACAAAAATAGAATTTTGATTCTCATTTAACTTTACTTATTTATTTATTTATCTATCTATTTCTTTATATTTATTTATTTATTCCAATTAATATTATTTTAAATATCATTATTATGAATATGTTTCAAAAAAGTGATATTTTTGTTAAAATAACTCACCTAAAAGTCTTAGCATGATCACAATATAATATTTCTCTATAATAAAAACAAGCATTCACTAAAGTTACATAGTCTCACTGCACAAAATAATGCAGAGATATTTATATATGTTTTCTAAATTACTTAATAGGAGAATTTGTCATAAATAGTGGATTTTCTACATAATTAATGGTAATTAATGTTAATCGCCTCTGCTGGTTTTAAAATGTCATGTTCCATGAGCAGATTTACAGGATAAGGAGTTATATAAATGTCAAACTGTTCCGTATAAGTACAAATACTAATAACTGGCCATTATGGCAAATTATAACAATTATGCCACATTTTCGCTGCTTATTAATGTTCCCAGCCTGTGGGAAAATGAGTTTTTTAAATAAAGCTCTGATAATAAGCTGAAGTAATTGCAATGTGTGTTATATATAAATGGTCAAACTAATTTTTTTTCTATCAAAGATCATAAAAACAGTGATCGTTCCTTAAGTTTTCAGTTACATTGCTATTCAGTGTAGAAATAGGGCTCAATTATATAACATTGGAATACATCTTCTTAAGAAAATGTTACATGTTTTAGGTAAGATTATGTCTCATATATTTACTTTAAGAATCACGACTTTGTCACCCAATAGCATTTAAAATTGTTTTGTTATTATATTTAAGTTCCGAAAATTTGCGGAATAACTACATTTAAATATAAATGTACGAACAGTTTTAAAATGACGTTTTTATTGCTCTGTTATGTTATGTTATCTGATACGTTTAATATTTACACATATGACACGTACCCTATTTATTTACTAGATTATTATCTCGTTTTCTTTCTTTATTTAAAAAATGAGAAATAACAAGGTGAAACGTTAACATTATCAGATAATTTAAATTTACTTCTAAACAAGTTTATATATGATTTTAATGTTGTTAAATATATGTATTTTACAAATATACGCATAGCGGTCCAAGAACATGAATACCATGTATTTAAATTTCTACAGTGTTTGTTGCTCTACTCGGACAACTAAAAATTATTGAAAGCAGTTGCGGATATGAACATATTAACTCAAAATATCAGGATTCATGCAGGAAGAAAAAATACCTGGATGACATATTTACTGATCAATTTGTTGATGGCGAACTCAAGTCGGAAGAGTTTCTAGAGAAACTGGTTTCTACTTGCAGGTAGTGTATCATCCATATGTGTCATAAATGTTTATCTTCATGGACCATTTGGCATAATGGAATATTGAAAAATAAACTTATTCTGTGTCAGATTATTGTTTGATTATTTGCATGTTTGCTTTTTTATGTGCGTAAAATTATTATATGCCGACATTACAGCATTCCTGGTGGAGGAAGATCTCGGATGTCCCTCCTTGTATTATTTCTTGAACGTATCTTTTGTAGGGCTGAACAGTTGCGAGATTCAGACCATTCTATAAAGGCAAATTGTTTTCAGTAAAGTGTCATGTTTCTATTGTGTTTAAAGTCTACAATAAAAACATGTTAAGTTTTTATGTCGCTTTGATGGATCGAAGTCAGTACAGTGTATTATTGCACTTTGATGAATACGTTAATTTTTATATAAATGACATATCATACAAACCTAGGTCCTCTCAAACACTACGTGGAGATAACTTTTATATTCTCACACTAACAAGTGCCGTAACGTGTCACACTAAATATTCCGTGATGACCGCCATATGAACACATCTACAGATGTTTCTAAATTTACAATTTCACCATAAACATAATTAAATGTTGAAGTCTGCTTAAGCCGATGCTAGGGTGGTTGAAAAGTAATTGCACTTTCCAGTAACTCCATGAATCAGAACTCATCAAAAAAGCGAGCATGCAACATTTTAGTTTGTCGTTCTTTGGCATTCTTTTTTTTTCTTCGTGTAGCAATTAGGCTGAAAAGCTCCCAAATGTGGGCAATTGTACTGCCAAACAAGTGTGTCCAATGAAAGGAACAAGAAGATTCAAGGAAATCCTGGTTGAAAGTGGTCAATCTACTGGACGATTGGACCAGCCCCGGCAAGTTTGGCTAACCATTAAAGTGAGTGTAATTTAAAAATAATATGTTGTATATATTGTGTTGAAAAATTGGACCTCATGAAAGTTATTTAACGTTTAACTTCCCCTTGAATTTCTTCGGGTTGTGTGGGAAACGGAAATTGAAAAAAAACCTTACTGTAAGAGTGAGGAAAATCTCAAAAAGCAAAGTTAAAAAAATAAAAACCAAAAATAAATCCCCTTTCTTTCAAAAAAAAACTGTTTTGTTCCTGTGGGGCCCTGCGTGAATTTCGTTAAACCTTTTTGGGGAAAAGTTGAAAGAGTAAAAAATTTTTCCACATCATGGGCTAGATAAAAACATTTAATGATGTTTTAAAAATTTTATAGTAATTTAAAAATCATATGAAAAGGGTTTTGATTACATAAAAATAGAAAATAAAAGTCGCTCCCGAAAAATTTTTTTTGAAAAGAAGTGTAATTTTTTAGTGATTAAAAGCCTCGAGGGATCCAAAATTTTTCCAGTTTCTTAACTTACAAAGCAAAGTGTAAGTGTTGTGTGGCAGTTGTGCAAAAAGTTGCCCGTATTCCTTCAGGTTGTTATTATTTTTGGGGCCCTTCGGGACGATTGAAATTCTAAACTTGAAAGTGTTTGAATTATGAAGTACACCTTTAAACCCGGTGCTATCGGGAGTGGAGGGAATGTTTGCTTCTTTTTCATATCCTATTACGGACTCCTCAAACGATCAGCAATTGTTTAAAAGTTTTTATTGAGTAGAGGGTTTCGAGGGTTCACACTTTATTTAGGTTTTTATTTATGTATGTATGAAAAACCGTTAAGGATTTATTTTGAAAAATTAAAAAAAGCACAATGTTTCATCTTTTAATTAGTATAACAATCCTTCTCATGAATTAATATTTTTTTTGACAAAATGTTATAATTGTTTAAACCCTCTGTAATTTAAGTATTACAAGATGGATTAAGTTACAATACCTCGTGTGGATCTACGTTTAGGACAACGCTATATTCTTGCCTACCTCCTCAGCCTCCCGAGTATAGTAGCAATGAAACGTCTCTGTCTGCTCTAGATGGCGAATACAGAAAGTAAGTATCACACGTATTATATCTCTTTATACATTCCTTATTAGCTGGTACACACGACTCACATGTATAGAATTCTTATGCGGTCATTATAGTATACTTTATTAAGTACAATACTGAATTGAATTGGCCAAGTACACAAACTTGGACAAAGGAGTCTTGAAAAGGTTTAACATTAATAAAAACAGTAGTCGACACAATAACACAAAACAACCTTTTAGACAGAACTTAAAAGCTTTTAAGATTGCTATATTGGTTTGATATGTTTACATTTTTGGCTCGAAAAAATGAAAAACATTGATGCTATAATTTAGCAGAATAGTGATTTGATAATAAAGTTCGGACTGTGAAAAAAAAAGATGCTACATTGATACAAAAGACTGGATACACATATTATTTCTAACTACTGCATTCTGTTTACACCGGTGCTAAGGGGGTGGACGGTAAGGTGTATTTCCATCACACTTCATGAACAGGCTCAATCAACCGAGCGTTTTATTTATATTGCAGAATACGAGTGGGGCAAACGCTTTAAAGTTGTGAAATAATACATTTTGTTTAAAATTAATAACAACTTTGACCTGATTAGAAACAATAAAGATGGTAAGAAATTTATACACCTGTCTGAAAGAACTTTCAAGAGGTATTTTGGTAATTTTAAGGTAGAAAGTGAAACAATTTATATCACTGATAGAGTCGGTAGGGATAATTTAAACGTTATTCAGACTATTTTGTTATCTTTATTAGTATGTACTATCTGTAATGTTTATATTTCAAATTTAGATTGGGCTAAATAATATATATTTAAAACTTTTGCAAAAAGCCCCCAAAATTTTTATTGCTATAGATTAATTTTTAAAAAGATTTTTTAAAAAATCTAAATTGCAATGTTTTGAAAATAGCCCTCTGACATACCCGGGGGTTGAGACGAAACCGGTACATGATCACCCCCCAGGAGGCATGGGGAAAGGTGGCAAAGGGTACTTCCAGCTAGGATGGGTTTTCTGGTCTTTTAAGGTACGTCTTTAAAGGTTTTTCGGCACCCAAATTTCTCTTCAAAACCCTTTTGTTTGCTGCGGTGCCCGTGTTTCCCAGGGGCAGGGGTAGTAAAAGGCTCCCAATGAAGGTTTTTGAGCCTAAAGCTTTGCATACGAAACCCGGGTTTGACGCAACGACAACCCCAAATGTCCGTTTGGGCAACACGGTGGACATGCAAACTTGAGACACGTTCAGTTCACTGATGAGTCCAGGTTATGCCTTTACTTCACAATTAGGCGTGCTAGCATCTTGAGAAGACGATGTGAAAGGTTTCAGGCTGCAAATATTGCTGTGCATGACCGCTACGGAGGTTGATCAGTTATGGTGTGGGGAGGCATTAGCTGGGACGGACGAACCGACCTTGTTGTTCTAAATAGAGGCACATTGATAATCCGGCGGTAAAAAGACGAAACGTCATAGACAGCCACTTTAGGTTTGTATGCTGAAGCATTCGGCGATCAGTCCTATTCTAAAATGCTCGTCCCCATATGACCAGGGTGGTCCAGGACTACCTAGAGAGGAATTCTATTGAGCGCATGGACTGGTCATCTGACTTAAATTAAATAGAACACATTCAGAATTAGCTGCAGGTTAGAATTTCAGCTCGACAGCTGCAAACTAGAACCATACAGGTGCTTGGAGCCATATTGGTCCAAGAATGGGCAGGCATAACCGTTAGAACGATCAGAAACCTGATCTGGAGAATGAGAAGGCGCTGCCAAGCTGTCATTGATAGTCAGGGGTCATACACACGGCATTAAGTCTAAAACTATAAACACAAAATCCATTTAACAAATTTGGAAAACACGCTGCATGTTCTTAAAACTTAATAGAGGGGGCTATTTCTCTTCTCTAGCATAAAATCAGTTTAAAACTCTTTTATAGGGTTGAATTCGTCCTGCTATTTGATAAAACTGTCAACAACAGTTAAAATCTTTCGCACGGAGTTAATGAAATTATCCTAAAATCCTTAAAAAATATTCACACTCAAACATAATTATGGTGCTTAGCAAGAATTGATTAGTATAATTGTAAGTCAGTTAATATGATACAAAATAAGGGTATTTATTCATTAAGAACGGCAATTAAAGCTTAATTAAAACACGCATTTACAATAATCAAACTTCTAAGGTAAATACATCAAAACTCTAGCGGTAACCCTATGGCTAGGTTGACTGCCGCCCAACCGAAGGATCGTAGGTTCGAGCTATTTTCAGATCATGAACATGTTTTCAAATATAACGCTTGTACTGGTTCTATTTATTTTTGTAATGAATACAGAAATTTGTAGTTTGTATTTATTCTAGTAAAATAGAAAAGAAAGTAGTTAATTTGGAAAAATATACATATTTAAAAAATCTAAACAATCTTATGTTTTGTAGTGTCGTGCAAAATTTATTCAGCTGTAGCCTAACTGGTATTCTCAAGAACGACAATATTAATTGTGGCTCCACATGGCAAGATATCCTATTAGTTAACTGGCTGGAAGTCTCGTCAAGATGGGGCATGCTATTTTTCATAGATAAGGAGCAAGTTAATACGTTACAGGTTTTGATTAATAAACATATCCTAGTTATACTGTTTCTTTCTGTTTGTATATATTTTGTATTAATAATTTTCAGATTTATTGGAATATCTTAATTAAAATATTTAGAATAGGTTCTAAAAAGTAATCTTGTCGTTCATCAAATCTTAAATTACATACAATGTAGATTAATTAGATCAGCCAAGCACAGTCATGTCACGTATGATAATTGTATCGTTGTTGTTTTTCACATAGAATATGAGATGCTAAGACGAACAATCATCATTGACATGAAATAATTTGAAGTGTGCAATGGATGGATCTGAAATTTTGTTATTCAATTTTATCAAATTAGAATAAAAACATTTATATTATAGGCTTGGTTTTTTCTTAGAAAACGTCACTGTCAAAATCATGTTTGCATAGCTTTTTATCCTATACAAAGCAAATGTGGAAAAGTTTTTGTCAAATTTTCCTAAAAGGGACCGTCATAATCTTTCATCTGTGTGGTGCCGTTATAGGCGGCTAAAATCGCTGATCTTCCTTGTTAATCTTTACGGACATACTTCAGGCCATAAATGTTTGGACAATAAGAGACTTCAATTTTGCTGACTTCAGATTGCATTAAAAAATTTGTACAAACCTGACCTGCAAATTATTATTTACACTACAAGCTCGATATCTAACAACGTACACGTGATCTATGAAACTGAAAATGTATTTACAAATGTCAACAAAGCAAAGCTATGTTTACAGAATGCAGTCCTAGATTGTATCAATTCACACATATACGAAGCTTTGTGAGAATAATGAAATTATATTTGTAATTTTATACATACTCACATTCTTTTGTGTAGATAATGGGCGTAATTATCTGAAACCATATATTCGAGGGCGAAAAAATAACAGCCGCATATACAATGTACAAGTAGTCCCTAACCAGTGTTTATAAGCAGTTTAACACCGGTGTTTTTTCTTCTTCTTTGTCTATAGTGACATAATCACGTGGAATGATAAAAATATCTTTTATCTAACAGGAATATAGTACTGACTGTTTTTTCAGTGTCCCCGATCTAGTTCAACATAATGTAGATGAGTGGTACAAAACATTCTTAAGTTATTTCAAGAGATATTGGATACGAGGGTTGTTTAAAAAGTAATAGGATTAAGAGTCTTGTCACATTGAAGGTTCCATGAAAACCGCCGTATGAACACATCTGCAGATGTTTCTAAATTCAAAATTTTACCATTTCATGTTTAAATGTTGAATTCTGCTTAAGCCGGTGCTAGGGGGCGTGGACGGTAGTTTGCAATTTACAATACCGTCCATGAACAGGCTCAATCAAACCGAGCCTGCAACATTTTCAATTTTGCCGTGTTGGGCTTTCTTTAGGGATTCTTATTTTCTCTATTTTATCGCCACATCAGCGTTGTTTGTGCCATGTGGAGGCTGTAAAAAGTCGCCCCGTACATTCAATCAGAGATGTTATATTTCCGATCCTTAAAGATCGTTCATCACGACTTTATTGTTGTGCTTGTGGTATTTCCAAAGGACTAATTTATCGTATTTAACTAGATATACGTGTTATCAATACATTAATATAATAATGATTAACGGTTACCGTAAAAAGTATCAATATTATTTCGCAATTTTGTTTAAATAACTGATGACTGTGCTTAGAAGAAAAACATGCTTTTCAATTACTACACATTGTTATTTTACTGTCTATAATAATATTCTTTACAACGTACGATAACATATGTAAGTGAATAATATAAATCACATTTGCCTTAAGTTCATGCCTGTTGAGTTTTAAGATTACTCAAAATATATGAAAAAAGCGGAGAATGGCCGGCTATCGGGCATTTTTTAAATATTATTTTTTTGTTTGAGATGTGATCGCTTTCTTCCTCGCTTCGTCTCCACATATGAAGCCTGGACATAGTTTTATGATTCAGACACGTAGAGCGCTTGCGACAATACTTTCAGAAAGAATGACGCTCGTTATAATTTGTATTTATTTTACGACGTCAAGAACGTCATTTATTGTATTGTTGGCGTGCGCCGGGTTTGTTACCCCTTGTCATTTGAAAATTTCACAGAAATGTTATTTGTAAACATTTTGTATTGATTTTTTTCACTGTATATAGAGAACATGTTCCAATATTTGTCTCTTGTAAAATTGTGAACGTAAAATAAAAAATGTGAGCAGTACAGCTGCAGTCCTATTACTTTTTGAACAACCCTCGTACAAGAGTATTTCTGTTTAAGAATGACCTAGTCACGAATTTTATATGACACCGAGAGCGTGTACGAGGCAGATATCCAACTTATATATTGTCATGTTATTTGCTTTAGCAGTGGCTGATGATTACGTCTCAGATTGCATTATATCTCAAACACATGATCACATGCACAATGGTTATTTTTTTTAACACGGCGCACATATTTGCAAGATCAATGTTTTGCTTTTAACGACATTATGCCCACCAAAGTGTAAATTTGAGTGGAAAAGTAAAAATCAAAATAATTTTACACTTTGTCTTGATTGTGTTTCAATTTTAAACTTTACTATGCAAAAAGGCATTTCTGTAAGTTAAATTTATTGCTGGCACAATGTCATATGGTGTTTGACTCTAACCATAGTTTCAATATGAATTCATGTGTTTTAAATATATGCTGCGTAGTTCAATAGACCTGTTGGAAACATTGGAAAGAAAACTTATCCATGTATGAACTCCAAATGACTTCACTAGAATATTATTTTGTACGTAAATTATGGTTATTCTAACATTAACGACAATTATATGGTAATCGCTTCAGCTAATTGTCAGCAAAATTCTAAATGTCATATCTCGGAGTAATAAACGGGATAAAAGGTAAAAGGTATTCAGAAATGAATTAGGGTCACTATTGAAGTTCACTGGAGAAGTTTAAAGATTTTAATGGGGAAGAAATTATGCATTTCTTGTGCATTTTCTGGATATGAAGTCTAAGAATTACTATTCCTTTCTACCTTGTTACATAGTTAATACTTTAGTTAATTGTTCAGCTTATTCCGCATTACTATAGGGAAATGTCCTGTGAAAACGCTGTGCTCTTAGCTTCATGTTTTGTTAATGTCAACAGATACAGATTAACAAGCAAATTTATGCCTATAAATGTTTTACTTCACTATAACTCATATCTAAATCTTAACTTTATTGTCTTAACGTCCTGTTACCGTACAAACACATGTGTAGATATCTCTGAATATTAATAAAACATAGCAAATAATAGAGGCGAACATTCTGATAACTGTACCCGACTTGCTAAAACAATTATAATGATCTGTACCCTACTTGTGTTTTCACTGAACCATAACTTGCTAGTCACTTTTGATATTTTGTATTGTTGTTATCCTATGTTCCAAATTTTATTGTGTAGAATATGTAGTTATTGTGTCACAAGAGCATGGCATATCATATAAGTAACTTATACTGCACATGAATGACATTTCATCGTGTTTTCACTTTCATTGGAAATACTAGCATTAAGTAGCTCGAGGGGTGAAAGCGAAAGAAGTCTAAGTGCATATCTGTAAATTTTTCACAAGCAAATTTATGCCTATAAATGTTTTACTTCACTATAACTCATATCTAAATCTTAACTTTATTGTCTTAACGTCCTGTTACCGTACAAACACATGTGTAGATATCTCTGAATATTAATAAAACATAGCAAATAATAGAGGCGAACATTCTGATAACTGTACCCGACTTGCTAAAACAATTATAATGATCTGTACCCTACTTGTGTTTTCACTGAACCATAACTTGCTAGTCACTTTTGATATTTTGTATTGTTGTTATCCTATGTTCCAAATTTTATTGTGTAGAATATGTAGTTATTGTGTCACAAGAGCATGGCATATCATATAAGTAACTTATACTGCACATGAATGACATTTCATCGTGTTTTCAATTTCATTGGAAATACTAGCATTAAGTAGCTCGAGGGGTGAAAGCGAAAGAAGTCTAAGTGCATATCTGTAAATTTTTCAGGAGAGACAAAAATCTGTCCTGTTTTTTTCCAGGTTATATATATAATTATCATTTGTGTACTCTAAAATGAAAATCAGTTATATTGTACATTTAAAAAAATTACTTGAAAAAAAAATGAAAGAAAAAGATTATATTTGTAAAAATGTACTTAGACTTTTTTCGCACTCAATATTTGTCAAAATGTCACAAATTTGGTAAATGCGAAAAAAGTCTAAGTGACGGAAAACAGGAAATAAACACCCTATTTAGACAGAAATGCTCAATACAGAATAAATTCAATCATTACTTACTATTCTGAATATAGAATTGGAAAGAAAATAATATAAATTAAAAAAAAAAATTCACTTGAACCTTTTTCGCAGTAAATGGTCATTTAAAACTTGCCTGATAAATAAGTGACATTAGACCATATTTAAATCAGATACTTTCATCTTAAAGGAAAATAATATTAAAGTTTATAAGATTCTAAGACTAATTTAGGTTTCTACATATTTATCATTGCATTCAGTTTCTAAAATAATGGATTTTTTGTGTAATTGTGATCATAAACAGAAGTTTTAGTTGATTACCATAAGATAATTACTAAAACAGATACTGGAAAGAATTATTTCTTCAATTCTAATGTAAAACCAAATAACAATAACTGTCACTGCAACTGTATCAACATGCAACTATTCCACATGTCCAACTCTACAATCACTGCCACTGCTACAGTATCAAACAGCTAACAATTGCACAAGTCCAACTCTACAGTCACTGTCACTGCTACAGTATCAACATGCAACAATTCACAAGTTCAACTTTACAGTCACTGCCACTGCTACAGTATCAACAGCTAACAATTGCACAAGTCCAACTCTACAATCACTGTCACTGCTACTGTATCAACAGCTTACAATTGCACAAGTTCAACTCTACAATCACTGCCACTGCTACAGTATCAACAGCTAACAATTCCACAAGTCAACTCTACAATCATGGTCACTGCTTCAGTATCAACATGCAACTATTCACAAGTCCAACTCTACAATCACTGCACTGCTACAGTATCAACAGCTAACAATTCCACAAGTTCAACTCTACAATCACTGCAACTGCTACAGTATCAACAGCTTACAATTCCACAAGTCCAACTCTACAATCATTGTCACTGCTTCAGTATCAACAGCTAACAATTCCACAAGTCCAACTCTACAATCACTGTCACTGCTACAGTATCAACAGCTTACAATTCCACAAGTCCAACTCTACAATCATTGTCACTGCTTCAGTATCAACATGCAACTATTCAACAAGTCCATCACTACAATCACTGCCACTGCTACAGTATCA